AGGGTGGCGAAAAAGCGAAAGAATGCCAGAAAATCCGAAACAGAGAGCTTTGGCTCCTGGTGGGAGAGATCTGATCGCATCAAAACACGCGGGCTGGAAGGTTGTGAAAGCACAGCTGGAGGCACCAGTTTGAGAGGTCATTCAAACTATTCATACTTTTTTTTTGTGGTACCTCTTTTTTTTGTTTTTGGGAGTTTTGGTCGCAGCTTGGCAGCAGGCAACGCAGCAGACTGTGGACTTTGAGAGCAAGTGGTATCAACAAGCTGCTGCGATCAGGGAGAAGCACAAAGTCTCTCTGAGTTTCAAACCGCGCGCTGTTTATTGTTTTTTGTTTGCTTTTTGTTTATTGTTTATTGTTGTTTATTGCTTTTTGTTTTGTTTTTGTTTTTTTGTTTTTTCTTGGGGGGTGGTGTTTTTTTGGTTTGTTTTTTTTGTTTTTTGATAGTTTGTTTTTCATAATTTTACTTATTTTCAATTTTCCAATGAATGAAGGTCTCTCGACGTCATAACTGTAGTGCTCTCCACTTGACTGTAACAGTGCGACTCCAGACAAATCAGGACAGGCTTAATGATGCCTCCACATGCAGATCTGTCTGGACATGCGCCTGTCACACTTGCAACAAGTGTCTAAATCAAAGCAGAGCGAAACTTCAGGAATCCAGTCATCCACTGCTATATGAATGCATTTGAAAAAAATGAAACCAGAAATCCCAACACCCATGTACCGCTTGGACAGTCTGCTATCTCGTGGCAATTCCTGACAGTTCCTGGCAGCGCTAAAGTTTGCCTCACAAGTTCGAGGCATCTTTAGCATCTGCATTGTCTTTGAAAGGGCCTCCGTCAGAACAAGACACATCCAGAGTTTCTACATGCAATACATGCAATACATGCAATACATGCAATACAGGCGTCATGATCTCTGGAAAAAGAACGGACCTCAAAAGTCACCAAACTCAAAGGTAAACACGTTCGACACATGAAACACACAAAGTATGCCAGAAGTTATCGACAACTTCAAAATAGATAGAAACGGAGCAAAACAGAAAACCAGCACAGGAAAAGTGAAAAACCGAACAAAGTCTTTGCTTCATTGCCTCATGTCTTGCCGCTGCCCTGGCGCTTTGGCCCCTTTGTATCGCCCGGCAAAGCAATACCTCAAAACGTTTCTTTGGACAAGACTTCAGAGACCATGTAGGGAGCACTCCTTCCATCTCCTTCCATGTATTTCCATCTCTTTCCATCTCCTTTCTCTTTATACATCTTGAAAAAGATGTTCACAAAAGCGATTCGTATCTTCGGCCCCGACCGAGCGGTAGCAACAGCGATTAGACACACCCAGGTGTGAAAGGCCAACGATCATAGAGCGCCTTGACTGCAAAGAAAAACACAATTTTGCAGTGTGAAAAAAGTATGCGCAGGTTTTCCGAAGGTGAAAGTTGTGCTTGGTTCGATTCTATATCTCTTATTTGGCATAGACATTTGTATCAATCATTTGGCAACAACAAACTGAAATAGAAACTGTGGTGGTCATTGTAAAATATGGATATGATCAAACTGGGCACCCTGCTGCAGCGCGCGGCAAAGGATGGAAGCAAAACGCTCGAGTATCTCCAGGCGCTGCGTTTCTGCTGCTGCCGCTTCAGCTTCAGCTGCTGCGTATTCGGCTCTAGCGGCTTCAGCTGCTTCAGCGGCTTCGGCTTCTTCCTGATCCTTCTGGTACTGCACCCAATTGCGCAGCTGCAGAAGCCCAGTGCTGAGGCAATCAGATGTCGAAGAAAGAGCAGCTGCTATGCGGGCACATGCAAGCTCACGCCTGCAGCACTGCAACAACAAAAGCTGTCTTGAATGAAAATAAACTTGAAAATATACATCCGAAGCCCAAACTACAGAGATAGGACATGGACATGGATACAACACGGGTTTATCATAACAAACAAAACCAGCCTTGGGCACGGCTGTGCTAGGAGTCAGGGCAAAAAATGCTGAAAACTCAACAATTTGCAGAATTTGCGGATATTGTCAGCAAAGTCAACTGCACTGTTCTTTCGAGGTCAAACAATGGCATAACATGCAGGCGTCACACAATGACACTGCCTGATTGTGGATGCAGCTGCTTTTTGCCGCTTGGACTCGGCTGCTTCTTCCTACAAGGCTTTCAGCTTGCATTTTCTGAACATGTTCTTTTGCCTTGTGCCTTTCAGAAAATAGACTAAACTACACTTCACAACAGGATACCTAAACAATGCGCTCATCGATTTTCCACGGCTCTCGCTTTCTTAAAAGGCAAAGGCTGCACATAGTTGCGCATCGCATGTTGCCTCTGTCAGCTGCCGTTGCTCTGCAATGATTTCTTCTGCCACGGACAGTGGCAGGAAGTATCGGTCACGACGACGCTGCTCCTGCGCCTGTCCGAATACAAAAATGATGCTCCACGACACAGGAATCAGTACGGAATTGGTGAGGAATCGGTGAGGAATGAGAGAGAGCAATCAGAGAGCAAACCGGTAGGACTCTTCCCACAGTCACTTGCCCACATTCCACATATCTTCACACAAGCTGGCACATCCTCGTTGATGGCACTGATCCATCTTTGCATCCTCAAAGCTTGAAATCTCGCTTTCAAGATCGAGAAGCGTTTCCAATGTTCATCGTCACATGCTCAACTCCTCTCTGAAGATTGAAACATGTATAAAGTTGTACAGAAATGGTCAGAAATGGTTGAATGATGTTGAATGGCTGCGTAAATTTTAAAAGCTCCATGCCAAGCGTCTCATCATCGTCGTTGGCCCGAAGGAACAACTTCTGAACTTTGTCACAAGCTGCCTTCCCCAGCTGCAGGGCGTAGGAGATGCAAAAATCTGCCTGGTTCAAACATGTTCGTCTTCAAACAAATTCAAAAAGCTGCACCAAATTCATTCTTTGCAATTTTGCAATTCTTTTACACGTGCTTCACAACCTTCACAACCGCTTGCTTCTTTGCTAATCTCAACCGCAAAGCGACTAGCAATGGATGGTAGCACTGAATAGCAGTGTTTGGCTGCATAGTGCACAAACCCGTAGCGACAGGTAGACTTTGTGAATTCCTTCAGCCGGAGCAGTTCTGCTGTTCTCAGTCCTCCAGTTCCCCGCCTTTTCCTCCGCCTGTACTGCAGTAATTGCGGCAAGACTGACGCAGATTTTAACTTTGGCACTCGTGCGGGAGGCGAACGACACCAAATACCTCAGAAACATTCACAAATTCATGGAAATATGGAAATATCCATCAGCTCCAACCCATTTGTGTTCTCTGGTGCAGTGCATCTCTGTCGGCCAGGAGACTCTGGAGACAAGACGAACCATTCGGACGCCCAGCTTCCCGAGCGGCAGAGCAACCCCCCGGACCTTGGCACGGCAGTGACACAAATTGACACAATATGCTTCCCATGTCATTCTCATGTCAAATCCATGTCAAATCCATGTCAAATCCATGTGCAGCACATCGGCCTCACCAATCACGTGTTGACACACTTCACAAAGCACAGTTGCCACTGCAATCTGGTCAAAATGCTTTTGGTGCAATACTAATTGCCAAAGAGCCTAAGCCTAAACAATCCGAATCAAAGAAGTTGTTGTGCGAGGTTCTGTTCGATGCATTGAATGCGTGGAGATACAGCGAACCCAGCAAGAGGGAGGGAATGTGTGTCCAAATGGGGCAAAACATGTTCAGATCAGCAAAAATTCAATGCTGATATTTTTGCGGATAAAAGACATGGAGAAACCCTGTCAGAAAAGCGTGCAGTATCATAATGTAGTGAACCAAGACTTTACAAGACTTTACCTGGGTTGAACCCCGTGTGAGACTGTGTGCAAAACATCTTCCGCTGCAATGCGCCCTCCTGGCCATCAAACAAAAACTTGAATATTGGTTTCTTGAAGCGCATCTAGGTGCAAAGCAAAGTTGTTTTTCCTTTGAGTTTGATGCACCAAATCACTCTGACACTGTCTGCGACCAAAACGTGTCCTGGCGTTTCTGAAACTTCTGCAAAATGTCCATGCCATCACAACTCAAAGATTGCAGATCGCAGCAATCCGCCCGGCCCGGTCAATGGCTGAAAGTGGCTCCACCTAGTCATTTATAGTCATGGAATTAGTCATTATTCGTGCTTTGCTAATCTTCATACAAATGCTTGGAATGAGTTTCTTCATGTTTCTTCCAGCGCAAATTGTAGCCATTCATAGAGATTAGATGCCAAAGAGACAGAAGTCAAAATCACCGATTGGACACCCGAGGAACCAATAATTAATTCAATAGTTCGATTAAATCAGTTGATCTGGACTGGGGCTTGCTTCCAAACAGTTTTAGGACCTAGTCATTGTATATATTCATCCGAGACTCCTGCCTCACTGGGATGCCCTATGACGCTGTCCGAAGTTCTGACCTCCGCTTCTTCTGTTTGCTAAAATCTCTGGAATTTGAGCGCTTGAGTGTGAGCATCGTGCGAGCATGTTGCAAGCCGCTTCGAATAAGGATTTCCGACCATGAGATGTGTTTGGCTGTGTCCGGCTGTGTCTTCTCTGGCAAAGCTTTGCACTGTTCACTGGTCACGGCGGGTCACTGGGTTGCTGCGGGTTGCTGCGGTATGTGCAAGGCCTTTTGACAAAGTCGAGGCGCAGCCATTCCAGGCTTAGAGATGCTGAAGCAGCAGCGCTGTGACGACTTGCAGTGAAACGCAAGCAGCACTCTCAGTGAAATTTGCAAGTTTCTCCTGATACTGAACATCTTGTGGCATACTTGTATCATTTAAAGCCTCAAGAGTGCTGTTTTTCCAGCATGGGAAACCCAGAACTGGGTCCTCTTTGGGTTCGTTTTGGACTTGTGGAATTTTCAACTTAATCTTTTGAAAAATCCAAGGCTTTCCTTGTCTTTTCATCCGCTCAGGATTGAAAGGATCGCCTTCTTCTCCTTCAACCGCTGAGCACCGCTGAGCACTGTAAAGTGTGACTGATCTATTCATGTGCATAGCCACTGCATAACTCCATGACGGCTTAGTCTGCTGAAATTTTGCATGGACAAATATTGTGATGCGCCGGCCAATGCAAACATTTTACATATAAATCATTATCATTGCATACCTGTTCAGCAACTACAAGGATTTTTGAGACTAGTTCATCTCTCGCCTCGTTGAAAACAGCTCCCAGTTTGCTGAGCTCTTGAGCTGCTTCCACAGCGCCAGCCTCACCAAGGAAAACGAAAGAATAAACGACAAGACAGACCAAATGACCACCCAAAAAAAACACATGTTGTAATATAGATATATATATATATATATATACATACAGGATACACATGTACATATGCGCATATCTCTATATGTATATATATATATACTCAGAAATAGATGTGTATTGTGCGAGGCCTCACAAACGGAGCTGAAACCCAAATCTCCACCTTTTCCCCACAGCGCAAACACCTCACGAGGTTCGGATGAAGAAGGCCGCCAAGCCAAATGAATCACCAAGGGCGTCCTCGCCCAGCGCCAAGCTCCCTGAGCTTCCGAAAGAAATCAAATGGCACAAACACTTTCCCTACCCTCCTCACTTCCAGTGGGCCCTGAGCCACAGTGCTATTGGAACATGATCCTTGATGGAAGGGATCTTGATGCTTTCACATGGTTTCACGTTTGCAGGCAAATAAATGGAAGGATTCATACCAGGCAGCCGGAAGGAAATTACCATGGAATCTTCATGCAGAAATCATGCAATTCCCATTCATAAAAATCTATATTTTCTGACAAGAAGCACGATTCGTTGCTTGCAGCTTCCGGGCACTGAGATCGCAGCCGCTTCAGTCGGTTGCGGGCATTGGCTCTTTGCTTAAGAATCTCCAGTTCATCATTTAAACGGTAGTGACCCTGCAAAAGAGTCTCACGTAGGAAATTCGTGTCCATGATCTTTGTCAGGCTGTCAGCTGATTGAGCTCAACTGAACACATCTTAGTTGTATGCCTTCTTCCAACATCTCTTTCATCTTCGTCTTTGCATTTAGTAAAGTGCGAAATTCGCTACAACGGGGCGTTCCTGTTCTGGCCACCAGATCAAGAAGGAGTTTACAGTCTGTTGCTGCCAATCCTTCGGGAAGGGACTGAGCCTTTACAGTCGCTGAGGACTGAGGAAGATCCTTGGGAGCCTTGTCAGGATTCTGCCACTGGACCTTAGGGTCCAACATCCATGCCCAGCAAAGTCGGATCCAGGAGAGTTGATGAAGGACAGAGCTGTGGCACCGTCTCGGCCGCCAGGCTGCTCGTTACCACTCTCTGAATCTTTTTGCAACCCCATGACATTGGATTCACTGGACATGTAGTGTTCTTTTCAATATCTTTATGTGTGCCCCTTAATTCTGCAACCAGTGTGGGAATCAGGCACTTTCTTGGAAGCAAAATCTCAAATCTGCACAGGAAATTCGTCGAATGGTAATGGAAACGTTGCTATGTCGTTTGGCTTCATGAAGGGTACGGTTTGCATCGATGAGGGTTTGAATGGTGGCTTTGTTAATTTCCGAATGCAAGAAGCTCAGTCTACTCGAGAGATCTGGCCTGGTGTGAACTGCCGCATACTGCAAATTGCCTATCAAACCAGGAAGAGCCAACTTTTCCTCAGGAGTGACTTCGGCTGTTTCGTTGTGTTTTCTGTCTGGGGCAATTCTGATTGGTTCAATCCTTTTGACATACCGGGCTTGTGACATGGTGATGCTTTTGTCGGAGTGCTGGGCCATCTCTATCCCAGTGAATGTAAATTGACCCATCTTATGGGACCCAAAAGGGTATGTCCTTTCTCATTCCTGCAACTTAGAAAGAAATGGTTGATTGCCACCACACAGTCCGTCGTCAACGTGAACACCGATAATACCATCAGGTTTCTTGATCACAGGGTCCCAAAGAATGAAAGTGCAAGGGCAAAATGGCGGCGTCTCAAATTCCAATCTCACCAATTCATCTCGCAGGGCTTGATACCAAAGGAATGGGGCGTCTATTAGGCCGTAGGCACTCTTGGTGAGTTGGCAAATCTGTTCCGGCTGGAGTTGCATTCGCTTGGCTAACTCTGGCACCGGCTCCAGGCCAATGACTCTTCCGCTTTGTGGCTTGCCTTGGAGGAATGCTGCCTTTATATCGAAGGAACGGAGACCCCACGACTTTGAGGCCACCAGTTGGAGTAACAGCATCTTCGAAAGCTTGTTTAAGGTTGGAGAATCTCGGTGAATTTCAATAATCTTAAGATGCATGAACCCCAGGACCACCAATCTAGCTCTGGCTTTGTGAGCTTTCTCAGAATGTTTTGGGCCACGATCTGCTGCTTCAATTGACTTCCAGGTAAGAATCCATCTACACTTCAGAATCTGTTCTGGTGAGAGTTGATTGCAAAACATCTTTTGAACTGTACCTGTCTTGAGCCAGTTGGTGACTTCAGCATCCTTGGCCTTCGAAAACTCTTCACGCTCAGCTGTGGAGAGTTCAGACAAACGCACTTCCGACCGCTGCTTCTTCGCTGCAGTTGCCAGGAAGGTCATTTCGGAGGGATCTGATTCCTGACGCCAGCTCTGGATGTCATGCTCAGGCACCAAAATTTCACTTTTCCAGAATTGCATCCAGAGCATTAACATCGACATCATGACAGAAAAGGCCTTCACATACAAGGTCATCATCAGGATCCTCAGGAACTGGAGTGTCAATGTGAGTTCGCGATTCTTCGTCAGCTGTGTGTGGGACAGGAACCTCGGGTTCTTGATCCGGTTGATCTTCCTGATTGGAACTATTTGATGGGTGCACATTGGCTTCCAAGGGTCTGTTTTCCATGGCACTGGAAGTTAGTCTTTGAGGACTTGGCATCGGATCATGGGCTACTTGGATTACGCCGGTAATTAATTCCTCTCTCTGGATTTGGGGGAACCTCACAGGCAATCTCAGAAGTGGAAGGCTCATCAATTCGAACTACAATGTCTTTGGCTTCTTCAGCTGTGAGGAAAGAATTCGCTGCTCCAAAGACTTCCGGGAAGATGAATGGCCTTTTTGGAACTTCTCTTTCACTTTGCCTTTGAAAGAACTCTTACCCTTTCCTCCAGAGGACACAGGCCAGAACCCTCGAAAACGCATCTTTTCATTCAACCTTTTTCTGGCATCGCTGTAGCTATTGAATGCAGCTGCGAGCTCTTCATCGGCCTGGATGACTTCGGATGCGGCATTCTCAAGTCCGAGATGAAAACCGCGTCATCATCACCTTCGGCTAACAAACTCTCCATGGGATCATCCTCAGTTGGAATTTCAGCTTCGGCTGCATAGGCTCCATCTACATCTTCATCAACCTCTTCCATAGCCAGTGTGGCTTGATCATACGTGTTCTATTTGGTTCATTTGACACCTGTGACCTCTTGGAAGAAACCAGCTCCAAGAAGTCGGATGGCACTGCTGACTTTCGTGATGGACAGATCACCCTTTCCAGCGGCATCAGAATCCACAAGCACCTTCTTCGTGTCTTCTGCGCTCAACGCTGACCCATGCAAGGTCTCATAGGCCTGCAAATCCGCAAGCTTGAGGTCGCGGCTGTTCAACTCTGTCCACATGATATCCGCTCTAGCCAGATATGAGTCAGCTGTTTCCACAGCTTTCTGTGTGCAACGATATAGCGCACGCTCAGCATATGCATGTCGTTTCTCCAAACTGATCTGACCCCAGTGTCCACCCAGAATTTCTATGATCTTCCGAATAGACTTCTTCTCATTGACCATGATTTCTTGCTGATGCAGTTGGAGTTTCAAGAAGGCAGAACCGGCACAGTTGAGGACCAACCTGGTAGCCAGCTCTGTGTATTTACCTTCAGGCCATGTTTCCAACAGCAAACGCACCTTCTGAGAGTACACCTGGAGATCATCTTTTGGCAGGATCAAACGATGGGACAAGCGCGGCGATCTGATTGGGCACCATTTGAGAACTTGCGGTGGATGATGAAGCGAGACCTTCGCCTTCAGACATCTTCGCCAAATGTTGATGTCAAAGCTTCCCTGGATATCCGCACTTACGGCAGCGAGCTCCGCTACCAATGTGAGAGGCCTCACAAAGGTAGCTGAAACCCAAATCTCCACCTGAAGAGAGCTCGGCGCCTTGTCCCCAAAGCGCAAACACCTCACGAGGTTCAGATGAAGAAGGCAGCCAGGCCAAATGAATCACCAAGGGCGTCCTCGCCCAGCGCCAAGCTCCCTGAGCTTCCGAAAGAAATCAAATGGCACAAACACTTTCCCTACCCTCCTCACTTCCAGCGGGCCCTGAGCCACAGTGCTATTGGAACATGATCCTTGATGGAAGGGATCTTGATGCTTTCACATGGTTCCACGTTTGCAGGCAAATGGAAGGATTCATACCAGGCAGCTGGAAGGAAATTACCATGGAATCTTCATGCAACAATCGTGCAATTCACAGTGTATGCGTGTATGTATATATATATATATATAGAGAGAGAGAGATATGCAGCTATAGATATAGGTCACGTTGGAGACAGGATTAGCAGGACAGTAGAAAGCAGTTCGAGAGGCTGACGGGAAGGGTGCAGCTCTTCTAAAGCTTTTAAGCAAATTGGTGACTCGATTGCATGTAAAGTGTGTTCTACCAAGAAGTATCAACCGTGGCAAAATAAGCCTAGAACCCGAAATTACAGTGCTCCGAGCCGCGTGACTACCCTGAAACCCACAAGGAATCATAGCAGACTTTGACAAACAACAATGATCGCTAAAATGCAAGCAATCAGCTTAGCTGGCAGCATCCCCAACCGGGTGACCAACAAGACTTCGCGCACGAGTAAGCCATATAGGCTGAGTAGCTTAGCAAGTACCAGTCTAGAATCCTGCGTTTTGTGCTTTTGGGACGGAAGTTTGACGGGTTGTTTGGGGTAATTTGCACAATATCGGTTCAACATATGGTCAGTCAGTCTGCCGCCCAAAGCTTAGAAACAGCCATAGAAGGCCATTTGGACTATGTAAACGAAAACAAGCACGAGCGTTTTCAGCTCTTTAATTATTGTTTGTGCATGCTGTTTGGAAGCTGGCATTTGATGACTCTGTTTGGTGGGTTGTCAGGCCAGAGTCATCTCTACTCAGCTCATCCAAAGGCACAGGTTTGTATTGTATGCGGGACTAGCCTAGTGACTAGGGTCAATGTGGGATCAAGGGAAGTGTCTCGGCGTTTGTGCACAGGAAGTTGCGCACCAACATGTCATTCCGGGTCCTTCCCAGAGAGGGTACTGCTTGGAGACAAATGAGACAGTACGCCCCTTGGCACGAGCACCCTGCAGCAGCGGTATCCTAGCTCTGGAGCAATCAGGTCAAGTATGAACATGCTAAGCTGCTATATCTAAATCATTGAATCATTAGACCAATCTGGGGAACCAAGGGGATAGGAGAACATTTGAATTTCGAACCAAACTTCAAAGGTTCAAAGGCTTTGTTATGTCATGTCTCTATATGTCTCTCATATCGCTATGTTACCTATTGAACTTTGAGCTCAGCGATTCCACCTTCCCCTGAAACCCTCTATCATCCAGGACGAACCTTGTGGGAACCCTACGCTAAACTGGATGGGAACCTTTTTCATCTCCGAAAATCAGTGGTGGGAACCTCCTCAATTTTTTTGGTCGCCTCTTCACCAGGCCCTCTCTGCCGGAGCCTTGTCAGCGCCCGCTTCAACCAGCAAACGCACAGAGTTGACCTGGCGAAAGCCAAATCAAAACACCTGGCACCGCGGTGCTTTGTTTCACAGAGGTTTCACAGAGACAACACCAAATCCAGCCAGGTGACATGACCCCTGCTTGCAGCCAGCTGCAGGGGCGTTGACCTACACATGCCGCATGGCCGCATGGATCTGAATCGAATCTGAATCGAAACAACTTCGGTCTCGAGCTGAGCACAGAATTAGCAGGGCACCACAAATGGGGCCCCTAGAGCCTAGTGGCCTAGTGCCGATACAATTCCAATTGGAGATATCCGCATATCTCAGCTGCTTGGACCAGGATCAATGCCGCAGATATATTGGCGTTTTTGGTCAGCACCAATCTGTTTGCTCAGCTGCTCAGTCTTCAATTTGTTTAGCGCGGGTTTCATCGTGGTCCAACTTCTGTAACCGCCAACTTCTCAGACCAGCATCTGCCATCATCTTCTTCTCAATCTTAATTTGTTGTATTGCTGCATCACATTAAACTCCAGAAGCCGAACATAGCCAGACATAGCCACACATAGCCAGACTTGACTGCGCCCAATTTGACACTACCTTTCTTTGAAACGAGACTGCCTCATAACCTTGAGAGTATCAACGCACCGATACCAGGGTGGCAGACGCAGCTTGCAGCCTGAGACATTTTCTTTTGAATCTCTTCAGGATGTGTAGATTTTGTCATGGAATGCAAAGCGCAATGTTAGGGATGTAAGCCGACAGCAAACAAGGATACACGCGTTCCACATCGTTCCACTATTGCTTTGGTCCACGCTGACTCTGCGAACCTGTCTGCGCCAAAAAAAACGATAGCCTCCTTTCTTTCGCTTTCCATGTCATCCATTCATGAAGCAGCGATCCTGTGTCATCAGCTTTCCATGCAAATTCTTCCGGGAAAAAAAAGAGGCGGGTTCTGTCATTAAAGACATGGGACTCTGCAAAGTTGTGCGTCAGCTGCGTGCATGTATATATGGCCCTGCACTCAGAATGACCGTCGCGTATTACGTGTTTACGCTGTCATATTCGTTGCAATTCAGAGATCGAACCTGCCAAGCGGCTGGCGTGGGTCTTCCGCACACCATGTGCAACTGCAGGTGCAAACACCGTGGAACAGTTGAACGTTGTAAAAGGTCATAATCAATCTCTTGCAGAATTCTGGTTTTGAAGGATCACGGACACAGTTGCAAGAAAAGGTTCAAGGATTTCTTCTGCATACGAGTCATGGCTGTGGCAACAAAACAACGACAAACAAGCTTTGGCCTTCTGAAAAGAAATGGATTGAGACATCGGGAGACAACAAAGCTGTGTGCCAGCGCTGTTTATTCTGATCATCTTTCTTGCATTTTGTTTTCCGTATGTTTTCTGCAAACCACATGGATTCTCAATAGTCCTGTACATTTAGCAAAGCGCCGCTATCAATAAGCATCTTCACCTGATCTAGGAAGAAGGAAGTGAACAAGGCAAGAAATTGAACATGCAAAATACCGCAAGTATTTCATCTCCTGACAATTTTCACACAAAAACCTTTGATCCTAATCCATCCAAATCATCCAATTTCAATCTATTTCTTCAATTTCTTTAAAGAGTTGACTGGAGATTCCAGGGCCAAACTCGGCAAAACCTTTGAGCTTCCCAGCACAGTGCGCAAGCCCGCGGCCAGCCAAGTGGCCCACCGCCACGCCAAGCGCTTCGGGCCCCGGACCTGGTTTGATGCCGATGAGTCACATGGAGGAAAGCAAACCATGCAAACTCAAACAAATCCGTAGCGTTATCTAACGAAATGACATGACATGACCTCATATAGATATAGATATTGAGCCCAACCTGAAGCGTTGCTGAAATCGAAAAGCAAACAGAATACCTCAAGAAAGAAACGGAGATACTGAGAAAACAAAGTCCCAATCTATTGAATTACAATTGCGAGCTAAGTAGTTTTGTACGAATCAAGTGAAAACTCTGCGAATTGTATTCCAGAGAACAGCATTTTTTCTGCTAGGATGTCTGGAGGAATCAGCATGATTTTCCAAACCCTAGGAAAATATGCTGCATATCGCTTTGGGTTTCTTCATCTCTTCAGGTTCACCGATTTGGAGTCCCCCACTGCTCCGAATAACCTTCTTGACAGCCTCGGCAGCCTGCATACGCTGCATATCGCTCATTTGCATTGTCTTTCCCTGCGGAATGCAAAGTAAATTAGCAAAAGCAATGTTCTTTTCTGCAAAGAGAGTTCTGACAAGAGACGTTCAAACAACTTCAAAATCTGATGTCAGATGTCTCTATTGTTCGTACATTTTTGAGATTCACAAATTGCGTTCATGCTCTTTGCATGTGTGTTGAACTGTACATATGGCATGTCCTCCCGGCACAAGAGGTTGTCATGCACATGTGCGCATGTCATCAATACATGTGTCCAAGAGACAATGTAGGATCTACAAATAAGTCTGCATAGACATTGCAGGCAAGCCTCTAGCACCTCCTTTCATATCCAAAAAACAAGGGAATCGGATGACTCGCCACCCTGCAACTGTCGACACATTTTTTTCTTCATTCTCAAGATGAAATGCTGAAAACCCAGTGTTTTTTTAACAGTTTTCGTCTTTGGAAGGCATTTAGAGAGTATATTTTTTACTGCGTGGGCCAATTCAAAATGAAGAAAGTGGTGTTTCGTGCAGGCGAAACGATCATTTTTTTGCCACGCCAGGGCCATCTCTAACGTAGCATCATACCCACCCCACCCCATCTCTAACGTAGCATCATGTTGGTGTGCAAGGGCCACCCCAACCCACCGTACCATGACCGAATCATACCTTGCACAACATCGAAGTATACGACAGCAACAAATAACAACCCTTCAGGGGCGGCGAGTCAGCCGATAGCCAAAAACAACTAGCAACGGCATCTTACAGGCACGCACTGCTTCAGAAAACTGCACTCTTAGACCCTATTCGGAACAGTTTAGAACAGAATTTCAGGTTTCATAGTTGTACAGCCTTTACAATCTTGTCTTCTCAAGACGCTTGAAAAGTCTGGTTTCGTCCAGTTGTTTTCACTTTCCCATTAGCATGGTACAGTAATGCTGGAAAACATCTGTCTAAATTGTCTTGTTTTGATTCATCTTACAATCTTACCTTGCGTGTCCATCTCCGTTGATAGATGCATATAAATGCATATATATATATACATACATATATATATGTGTGTGTGTACGTATATGTATATGTATGTGTATGTATGTATACATATACACGTACATGTATATGTACGTGTACATGTACATGTATATGTGTGTGTATGTGTGTATGTGTGTATGTGTGTATGTGTGTATGTCTGTATGTCTGTATGTCTGTATGTCTGTATGTCTGTATGTCTGTATGTCTGTATGTCTGTATGTCTGTATGTCTGTATGTCTGTATGTGTGTATGTGTTTATGTGTGTATGTGTGTATGTGTGTATGTGTGTATGTGTGTGTATGTGTGTATGTGTGTATGTATGTATGTCTGTATGTCTGTATGTCTGTATGTGTGTATGTCTGTATGTCTGTATGTCTGTATGTCTGTATGTCTGTATGTCTGTAGGTCTGTATGTCTGTATGTCTGTATGTCTGTGTGTCTGTATGTCTGTATGTCTGTATGTCTGTATGTCTGTATGTCTGTATGTCTGTATGTCTGTGTATGTCTGTGTATGTCTGTGTATGTCTGTATGTCTGTATGTCTGTATGTCTGTGTATGTCTGTGTATGTCTGTGTATGTCTGTGTATGTCTGTGTATGTCTGTGTATGTCTGTGTATGTGTGTATGTGTGTGTGTATGTGTGTATGTCTGTATGTCTGTATGTCTGTATGTCTGTATGTCTGTATGTCTGTATGTCTGTGTGTCTGTATGTCTGTATGTCTGTATGTCTGTATGTCTGTATGTCTGTATGTGTGTATGTGTGTATGTGTGTCTGTCTGTCTGTCTGTCTGTCTGCCTGTCTGGATGTATGTATGTATGTATGTATGTATGCATGGATGGATGGATGGATGGATGCATGGATGCATGGATGCATGGATGCATGGATGCATGGATGCATGGATGCATGGATGCATGGATGCATGGATGCATGCATGCATGCATGCATGCATGCATGCATGTATGTATGTATATATACATACATTGTATCACTATATATATATATATTATTGTATGTGCACATCATTTGAGGCCAATGAAAAGTGAACATGCTGACGATTTGATGGTGTTTTACCTTTTTTTTGTAAATTTGAGGGCCCCTATTGTGACCGTGTGGGACCATCCCATTCTTAGGCATGGGGATGGAACATAACAATAATATTTGACACCAGCAGTTGCTTACACAAGGCTAAGTTCAGTGGGACATGAAACGATACTCCAATGATGCAAGCCCATGAGCCAATCGATGCTTAGTCGGGCAGAATGTGCCGAGAAATGTGCAAATGGGAATGATTCGGAATGATCATCAAATTCATCAAGTTGGTCAAGAGTCAGAGAGTGTGAAAGAAAATCAAGCAACCCGCAGAATGTGCTACTTCAATGGCGACTCTGGCGACTCTGGCGACTCTGGCCTTTTTGTCTGTCCTTGCCTTTTCCAAGAATGACACAATTTTTTCGCCTGCATTCCTGCGAGGCTAAGCTCCAGGTGAAAGCCATACAGGCCGTACATCTAAGCTCTTTCAGGGTGGTAGCTACAGTACTGTAGCATACTGGAGCTAGACAGTGTATGTATTGTCTATATTGTCTATGTATTGTGTATCTCAAGTGTATGTTGTGTTTGGCAGCAAAAAGAGCACGGCTCAATTTCACAGAATCCCGCCTCGATTCAGCATCTACTGACATGGTGGCATCCGGCTCATCCACTTCTGCCTGTTGCCACGCCAATCCCAAATTGGAACTTTCTTAGAACAGCTGGCATTACTTTATCCAAACATATCCCAACTCTATGCATTCGGCTTTCACATGACTTCACAATCTCTACTGCTCAGGCACCTCTGCTGTGCGATCAGGTTCAGGCGTGATGTTTCCACCCAAGGTTCCGTGATACAACCAGTCCCTACAGTTCTCTGCACCTCTACCTTGGCTGCCTTGAGTTATTACTCTAGCGTATATATATATATAACTTCAAGATTGTTCCAGGAAATTGAGAAGCGATTATTTAGCCACGCAAAACTAAGTCGAGTGAGGAATGGCAGGGTGCAGTCAAAAGCGTGCATTGCAAGTCATAACCAAAGGGTTGCATGCTTCGTGCCCGCGCAGATTTTGTTGGATTGCGAGGGTCAAGGCTCTATGGTGATATGCTTCCTCCTTGGCCCCTTTACGTGTTCTGGGAAAGAAGCTGTCACTGAACTCAATCACTTGCTCCCTCAACTGGTGTGTTTTCACACAAAAGGCACTAAAGGTGTTGTTGTGGAGGACAAAAAATCAGAATTGCATGTGGGGAATCGTGTCGTGGGCGGAGGCTTCCCCACAAAAAACTTCTACCAGGCGCCAATGGCAAGGATGGTATCCAATGGTATCATGTCATGCGGATGGGCTCCCTGTCATTGGTCGCCTGACGCCGGGCAGAGCGATCATTCGCAAATTTAGCCAGGCCTCAGGGAACATGCGGAAAGAGCACTGCAGAGACAGTGACAGAAGTCTGCAAAGTCTCAGAATCGATTCGTCTGATGTTCACATGAATGTTACATACAGTAGTGCCAAATTCTCCAAACATCATACATGTGTGGGCATCGACAAGACTTAAACTCTTTGCACTCTGACGCTTTACAAACCAGGCTAGAGCAAACACCACACAAGCAGAATGCAACATGAGTCGTTTTCAGGAGCATGCTTTTGCTGACGGCTCATTTTGCTTTGAGAACTGCATCTTTGGCAGATCTCATTCAATTTGCAGGACCTCTGCGCAAACCCTATATGTATACGGCATAAGTATTCTCTGTGTGTGTGTACTTATATACTGTACATGCACATGTAGGTTTGCACTGCATTATCGGGGTTTGACTAGATGCCTAAGCCCCGGTGCACCGGATGTGACTGTGTCAACATAACTACAAAACATACCAATCAAATATGGTGCCAAACAAAGTATCCATAGTGTTCATATCAGCGTGCTTTGTGCGCTATTCCCATTATTGTTGCAACAAGTACGGTACATACTCCACATTCTCCTCTGTGTCCTTCTGCGTTTGTGTGTATGAGCGTGCAAGCGACACCACCTTAGAAGGCGTGGTTACACACAATACTCTACGTCAACATACGTCAACATTCAACATGTTAATTGGGTCTTGCAGTCATGAGAAACAAGCACAGATACCGGGTTCCGGTATGAATGAACGAACGAACAAGTCCAACCCAGACCAAAACAGACCAAACCAAACTGAGCAAAGCCCAGCAAACCCCAATAATAGGAACAAGCCCGCCAGCCAATGAGAAAAAAAAGGCACACGGGCAAGGAAACAAATGCATCTGACTATCCGCAGAACTGCTGAGTATGACAAACCAAGGTGCCAAGGTCAAGGAAAAAGTGCCGTCTTGGAGATTAACAAACCCGGGTAGGCTTTGGGTAGGCTTTGGGTAGGCTTTGGCACACAAACTGCGGCATTTGTTAGGGCTAGCTATGCCTAGCTTACATCTCGAGCATCTGCCCACAGGATGGGCTCATTAGATCTCATTAGCTCACTACATTCATGACATTTCATGACCTACCGGGACCTACCTATCTGGTTTGGTCAGAGATCCCTTGGGCTTTGCCAAGTGCATGTGACCAAGGATCATCAAGCTATCTTTTTTCGCTATGCTAAAACAGCTGGGGACAGTCTGAGCTCGGATTAGTCTGGGCTTGGCTTCTCAAGACAATGCTAGTACTGGCAACGCTCTGTGGGATAACACGTCACTTCAGCTTGAAGTCCGTGACTGCACTAATTCTGCCTGGGTGAGAACGTTGATTCTTCCGTGGCAATTGGTTCCTTTCCTCCTTTGTGCTTCTTTGCACTTCATTTTTCCAACGACAAAGTTCCGTTCTCACCCACAACTGAGTCATCTCGTTGCCTCCAAGATGCGCCTGGGCAAATTGGTGGCTGAGAAATCCTGCAACCCTGACGCAACCGTCCCACTATATACATGAATAAATCTACACATTGAACCAAGTTATCCGAGTTCTTGTTACATCTTACACACAAATGTAAAAATGTCAAAAAAAGCTCGACATTTTTCTGAACTCGGATAACGGTTTTTGTCGTAACTTTGTTTACTTTGTTTCAGTAGCACGATTTGTGTTGTTTTTGTGTCCACACTTTCGAAAAGAACCTGCTATGACGGAGTTTCAAGACAGCTATGAATCCGTATGAGTACAAAACCGATCTGAAAACAGATTCAAAAAGCATGACGTAAACAATATGTAGCAGTATCCTGGTTCGAGGGATGTCGGCTTCAGGCTCTGAGAATATCTGAGAAATCAAGAACAATGCACAGCCTGATGCAGTACACGCGCCACCGATAAGTTGTTGAACAATAGGATAGTGCGCCCAAAAGACAGCTTTCACCAAAACTGTCCAACAAAATTCTACATCCCAAAGAGAATACACCGTGATTACATCTGAACCTGAGCACGTTGCGCGCATGTTGTGAGCAAGTTTTCAGCACGTTGTGAACCCGTTGTGAGCATGTTTCTATTCTTCCAGGCCTGGCATTGAGGAGCATGTTGGGCACTTCCTGCTGAAACGCGCAAAATGTCTGCCATAGGCCCCGTACCATTTTCTCGCCAAATCCCTTTGAGAACTCGAGACACATTTGCTAAAGTTACTCTTGAGAATATGACCAGTTTCAAACCTCTGGGATTCAAAGCACATCAACCTGCCTGCTCAGTGTCGTCCTTGCTCACCACTAAATCAGCTTTCCATCGTCTTGGCATCTTCTTAACTTTCAACCACTTCTCCTTCCTCCGCTCCTCCTCCCTCCATTTCTCCTCCTTCAATTGCTTCTCCTCCTTCGATTGCTTCTCCTCCTTCGACTGCTTCTCCTCCTTCGATTGCTTCTCCTCCTTCAACTGCTTCTCCTCCTTCGACTGCTTCTCCTCCTTCAATTGCGTCTCCTCCTTCAACTGCTTCTCCTCCTTCGATTGCTTCTCCTCCTTCAACTGCTTCTCCTCCTTCAATTGCGTCTCCTCCTTCGACTGCTTCTCCTCCTTCGATTGCTTCTCCTCCTTCGATTGCTTCTCCTCCTTCAACTGCTTCTCCTCCTTCAAGTACTTCTCCGCCCTCCATTGGTTCTCCTCCCTCAAAGGAATCTCCCGCACTCTCACCATGATAGTGCCCATGGTCAGGATATGCATAATGGTAATGGTCAGCGTGGGCATAGTTCAAGGGTTGGACATGATGAACAACATGATGCACCTTGGTTGGTGGAGGTAGAGTTGCACAAACGTTCATTTTTTACAAGCTCTGCTAAAGTCCGAATCCCCTTTCCCAAAAGCATCGCTTGGTCGCTTGGCTTGGTGTTTGGCTAAACGGTTTGAGATGTTCCATCTTGATTTCCGAAACTGTCGGGCTCCTTTGCTCTTCTAAATTCAAACAAGCCAATAGGAAAATTGGACAAAATGAGAATGCAAACAATGAGTGATAGAAGTGAAGTGTTGCACACTGGGAATTTTGATGAATTGTGTATCCCAAAGTCATCAACCCCCACAGCTTTGCTTTTGATTTTGCGTATACCGATTCCAAGTTGTCTGGCCAACTTGCTATGTCAATTATGTGATGGTGAGTAGATTTCATATGGTTTTGTCACGTCCCCTGGTCCCCTCGCTTTCGCCCAGGGACATAGTTTGGCCCAATGGGGTGGTTGTGGCCAGCTCCGTAGTACCATTGGTCCCCATAGTCTCAGGGCGAATGTCTCTCAGCATATCCACACTGAAACATCCCACAGTGTGTAAATATGCGCAAATTACTCCATGAGATTTGTGAGACAAGGCTTGAATAAGTGTGCGAGGACGCAAGGGTGCTTTAGGTGATAAAAAGAAAGACTGGCCCGGATTAAACAACTGCGAGACCCTGTCGCAAGCCGCTACATATATATATATACATTTATATACATTTATATACAGTTTTATACATTTATGTACATTTATAATTTATATACATTTATATATATATGTATACATTTACATACATTTACATACATTTAATGTACATTTACATACATTTATACCCGGCTGAACCAAATCATAAACCGGGCAACCCTTGTTGAATGATTTGTGAGACAAACACATTGAAACGCGTTGAAGAGCATTGAAAAGCAAAAAGCGTTGAAAAGCGAAAAAACATGGCAAGCATTGAACAGCGTTGAAAAGCGTTGAAAAGCATTGAGCAACATTGAAAAGCGTTGAATAGGGTTCAAAAAAGTTGAAAAGCGTTGAACAGCATTGAAAAGCGTTGAACAGCGTTCAAAAAGGTTGAAAAGCGTTGAACAGAGTTGAAAGGCAGGGAAAAGCGTTGAAAAGGGGTTGAAAAGCAGTGAAAAGCATTGAACAGCGTTGAAAAGCAGTGAACAGGTTTGAACAGCGTTGAACAGCGTTCAAAAAGGTTGAAAAGCGTTGCGTTGAACAGCGGTAAACAGAGTTGAAAAGCGTTGAACAGCGTTCGAAAAGGTTGAAAAGCGTTGCGTTGCTGAAAGGTATTGAAAAGCGTTGAAAAGGGGTTGAAAAGCATTGAAAAGCGTTGAACCATGTTGAAAAGCATTGCAGAGCAGAGTTGTCGGATTGCGTTGGAGCAGTACTTCGTTACTTTGTTCAGACCGCGCATCATCCGTATCATGTCTCATTCCATCTCAGTGCACGAGCCAAGCTACGTTCATCCGCATAGTGATGAGTCGAATGGTGAGGCCATGCGTAGAAAGGGCGAATCCCATGGTAGTACTGGCTCTTCGAATCCGTCGAATCGTGAACATGTTCTCGGTCATGCCACTTGCACCTGGACGGATGCACTTCACAAGCTTCAGATAGTACACATCTTCAGTGCTTCTTCAATGCTAGTGTATTGATGTGTATTGTGCCAGCGGAGTCGAGAATCGTAGACATTTTCGAATGAATTGTTTCACAGTTTTTGACATCAGTGAAATTGAGATCCGCGCCACTCCTGCTGTGACTTTGTCCAAGTCCTTAATTTTACTGTAACACCAAAGAAACTTAGAAAGCACTAAAATGATTCAGCAATAGAACTGAACACGTCTACATCAAGGATCATCAAGGTTTCTGTGCCAGGAAAGGCAGTATGAATTGTGAGGTTTTTGAAGCCAAGCTTCGAAGGATGCGATGTGCAGTCAATAGTTGTCTCAGCCTGAGAACACTCTTTAGATATCATGATGACAATGATGACTCATGATGGTCCGATAGAGTTTGGGTCAAGCCAGTCAAAAAAGATGCCTTTATGACGAAGTTTGGCAAAGGTGAAGACAAACAGCATTGAAGCACCAACCCGGGAATTGTGAAGTTAGCATTGATTTGTTGCAAAAACTTCAGGATTGCTAGAGAGTGCTCAGCCTTGCTGCAGCCGTTTGATGTTTTGAAAATCAAAAGACCAAATTGCTTTGGGCGCATCTTCATTCTCCCTGTAAATTCCTGACAGTCCAAGTTTTGTTCCTTCTCGGGATATCCTGGACATGTATGTACAGTATACTATTCAGATCTATTCAGTATTCAGTATACGAACTTGTCGCATGTCTTTGTACGGCCCTAGGGCTGAAAGATGCTGAAAGCAACATCAGGCGGTCAGGGCCCCGACGCAGAATTTTGGATCATCGTGGGTGCAACACCTCGATCCAAAAGTTGTGACAATTCGTCTTGAGAAAATCTGGATTTTGCGCACCTCAAAACAACAGCATGAAATGGCATGAAACAATACAATAATAACGGTGGTGATGTATAACACATACAGTAAAACAAGGTGGGGGCGCCTCTAAGAGGCCGTGCGTTTTTGCACATGGATATATTTCTCTTCAATGATGTTTCAAGGTTTCGCCACAACGAGAGCGGTTTTTCACAGATATTTATATATTGTGGGTGTGTCAAAAGTCATGGAAGCGTATGGAAAAATGAGGGTCTCGGTGTGATTTCACTGGTTTTTGTGGGACGAAAGCTACATGTTGGAAAAGGCAGGTGTACGCTTTTTCTTCTCTTTGTTTCAGCCGCTTTTGCGGCAAAGGTCTCCTAGACATTTGTGCATGTCGTTGTGGCAATTTCTTCGCCACAGAAAAACCCAGACACATTTCATGATGTCTGTCTAATAACAATATAATATATATATATATTATAACAAAATAATATAAATATATAATAACAAAATATATATATATATAACAAAATAATATATAAATATATAATAACAAAATAATATATATATATTAAAACAAAAATAATATATATATATTATAACCATGTACAGCGTATAATATATAACTATAACTTGAAGTCCATCATCAATTTCTGACATGATGTTGAACAAAATACTATATATTATAACCATATGCAGCGTATAATATATATATAACTTGAAGTCCATCACCAACTTCTTACATGATGTTGAACAAAATACTATATATTATAACCATCTGCAGCGTAGCATATTTTTAACTTGAAGTCCATCATCAATTTCTGACATAATGTTGAACAAAATACTTGTATATCACAAACAACTACCTGGTAGGACACCTCTATACCCAAACCCGAACCCCACACCATCATCAATGTAACATCAACGTATTAAAACGTAACATCAACATATAATCAACATAACATCAACGTAGCAACGGGGCATGATCAAAGTAGCATCAACGTATCAACAGTAGCCTCAACGGCTCCTCAACGTAGCATCACAGTATGATCAACGTAACATCAACGTAGCATCCACGTCGCATCACCTTGCGCGCAAGAGATATGAACGTTATCACACCCCACCCCACCCCACCCCACCCCAACAGTAGCCTCAACGGCTCCTCAACGTAGCATCACAGTATGATCAACGTAACATCAACGTAGCATCCACATCGCATCACCTTGCACGCAAGAGATATGAACGTTATCACACCCCACCCCACCCCACCCCACCCCAAAAAACCTCAAAAACGCACGGCCTCTTAGAGGCGCCCATACCTAAAACAACGGCAAACCGAATCAGATAATAGTGATGGCTTGGAGTGAGCAGGAAGGACAAACTCTTAGGTCTTCTATCTTTCTCCTCCGCTTTTGTTTCTCTTGGACTATTGGACCCAGTGATTCTCTTGATTTTCTCCTTGCTACACCAGCCATCGTCTTGATGGCTTGATGTCCCAGACCTGCTTACATGGTGATTCTCTTTGCACCGCATCTTACTCACTGGTCCAAGTCCTATTCCTACACTCGATGTGCTTGGTACAGGCAACAGGTGTCCAAATGGTCTGTCGATGTCTGTCGTGTATCATACTTCATGGATGTTGGAGCCGTGTCCCAATAATGGTGCTGTGGTCCTCGTCTCTCTTGGTCATGTTGTGGAGGGTGTTGAGTTATGTTGCCACGGAGGCCGTAGTAGCTTGACATAGCGCCCAAGTTGGAATCTGTGTCATTGTTGGGTTTTGATGAAAAAAAACACCAGAGGTCTTGACAGATGTATGTTACATTCTGTTCGGTGTTAGGTTGTGCTGTCTGGTGCTTTCCCCCGTCACGATCTTTCAGGCTTGCACTGGCCTTTTTCGGGCGGGGTGAAGCGCAGCTGTCCGACCAAAACGTCTTATTAAGAACATATTCTTAGAGTCATATTGTCATATCCTATTCTTGCAAAGCTACATGTGTTTCTGATATTTCTATACTTTGACTGCTTCCCATCTTTCGACTGGGAGTGGCTGCTAGGCCCAGAAATTTGCATGTAGGTTGCTTGCGAGGACATAACAATGGAATTGGCTTGGCCTTTCTACGACAGATATTATTCTTTTTGTGCAAATAAGCTCAAACGGATGCTTGGACTATGCCATTCGAAGATTCCTGCGGTGTCACGTTGCATTCCCAAATTCTGTGGTCTATTCAGATGATACAAGACGTCTGGAAAGAACCGACGCGATGCTTGGACTCTGCATACTTCTCAGGTCTAGGCCACTGTTTCTTGTGATTAGACCAATCACGCCTCGGTAATTCACGAGTAACTCAGCACTCAGAACGGTCTCTTTAGGAAACTCTTTATGTTGGCTCACGTTTTCCAAATCCGGGATCCATCGATGACTCAATGACCGAGGACATCAAAGAGGCCAAGCAACTGCCAGGTGTCAATGGAGGCCATGCAGTCAAAGCGTAGAGGATGGCCATTATCCACCGCTGTATAGTAGTGGTCCTTGGTTCGATCAGCGGTTTTACAGGCAAAAAAACATGTGCTGACTTTGAGGTGAGGCAACTTGAAGCCAAAACAAACAAAACAAACCAAGGTTCGTAGTGATGCTGATGGTGGTGAGGAACGGGAACCTGCCATGCGCACAAGATTCACCAAGATTCATCGATGTTGTGAACATGGTATCAGTCGATTCGACTGATACCGACTTAGATGAGGACTTACTGAACATGGAGAACATGACAGCTTCACGTGGTAGTGTGAACCAGGCGGGGCATCCTGAAAGGGATTTCAAGAGATTCGCTGACTTGCCTTCAGCAGTATTATCAGTGTTGGAGTGTCACCAAACATTGTCAAAGCATGTCAAAGCCTCATCTAAAGTTTCAGGAATCTAAGAGAATCTAACAGGTTCGGAAGCTATCTGAATTGCTTGAAGCAAGTTCAGCAAGCTGACACTGTCGGTTTCTATTGCCTCTTACTAATACACAGCAACTGACTTGTGGCTAAGATGTTGATTTGACTCAGAAGCAAATAATGCAAAGGAAAAGAAGCATCTCCTCATCGTAAGTGTACCTGCAAGAAAAAGCTGTGAGAATTCGCAAAGCTTTGATTTGATCACTCCGCTTAAGATTCCTGCCATTCTTGCATCAACCATTCTATGGGTGAAGCTTGCATCTTTGCAAAATCATTGGTTTTGGAGGTGTTTGCAACTGCTGTATTGTGTTTCTGGGTCTTTCTGACCTGTCTTCTCGTCTTCAGAAGCTTACGCAAGTCGCAGTCTTTTTGCAATTGCGGTTCCATTTTATGCAGGTCCTTCACTGTCATGGTTCTGCCAATTTCATGATAGAGTAAAGGATGTAGAGGGTTTCACAGTGCCCCCCTTGCAAAACGGAAACTGTCCATAGCCGGTGCAACCAAGTGTGACCAAGTGCAACCAGGTTACTCGCGGATGTGAGCAACTACCTGTGGCTTCTCTGTAGGTTGAGGCACTGTTGGCCAATGGCTTGCCGACCTGGCGAAGAGTCGATTGGAGCGTTGCAATCTGATCCAATCTGAGTATATCTGAGTCATTTCATAGCATTGCGAAGGGCCCCCATCTACAATTGAACGCTTCGTCCGTGAGATTCGCGTTTGCAAATTTGATCATTCCGTTTTGCTGCGAATCTTCTCTCTACTGAGGAGCTTGCACGTCGTCTGCTCCACGAGGAGTTCCACGAAGAAGAGTCTTGGCACAGACGAGGAGCATGCAACATGAAGACGTTGGAAAGATGGAAAGTTAAAAAAGAGGATGCAGTGGTACTGAGTGGTACTGAGTGGTACTGAGTGCTCTATACTGAGTGGTACTGGAAAAGACTGGTCAAACACAAGAGAAATGAAAGGAAGGCGAACACGTGAGAAGTTGAAAGAGAGGGACCGAGATGTCTCTGCACCCTCTGAAGATCTCTGAAGTCTTTCTGCTCTTGGGTAGAAACAAATAAAATGGTCCAGGTCATGCCACATATGCTGAAGAAAGGACGGCAAGAAACATAAGAAAAAGCGTTTTGCGTAGTTTTTGCGGAGATGTCTTTCTTGTCTTTCTAGTTTTTGCGTTTGCGGAGTTTACATTTCTCTTATTTTCTCTCTCTCCCACTTTCTTCCTCCCGGACTCTCGCAGAGTCGACACTTTCATTGTTCCTTCCACCTCAGTTTGTCTTGCCTCGTACTGGCCGAAGAAAAGCGCTGCAGTCACCTCAAAAACATGATGCGTAGACAAATGTATAATATATATATATTGTATATATAGGTATGCGCAGTTATATGCATACAGTTTACAAGAAAGCAAAGCAAGGCAAAAGCTCGTGTAGAACAAGGGTCTGGTCCACACCAGCTGAGGGCAAGGACCGTAATTGCTGTGAGGAGAATGCACACGACGAAGGGCATGATAGACCTTCAGAGCTAGGACAGGACAGCTAGGACAAGCACCGCACTAAGCCGCGCTGCAGTCTGGCTCTTCTCTTCTGAATTCCCATGTCACCTACAGTGCCCTACAGACTCTGGATTTTTCTTCAATGTCTTTGAATTGGCATCTCTTAGTTTCCAGCCCCCAGTTGAAGGTCGGACCTTTGCAGAAATCACTGGCACATCCCTTCCAACAGTGGTGTACACTGTACGCGTCTCATAAATACTCAGGAATCATCAGTCACACTGTCAACTTCCCTTAAGTCCATTCTGTGCATGTCGAAGTATTCAGTCTTCTTTAATCTGTTGGGGGTTGGCGTTGGCAGTTTGGCAAAGCTTACTTTTGATGCCCACTCACCGCATATTTGCTCCCTCTATTTTGCAGCTCAGCAACCTCTAGCGGCCTCAAACTTTGAGGGGATTCCAGTGATTAAAAGGCTCAATTTTGTGTCACTGAAAGGCTTGCAACTTCAGAAAGTCTTGCTACCTCCTGCAACCTCCTCTATCGGTTTGGCCATTCCAGCCCCAGTGGATTTTCTCAATATGTTCATGCACTCCTGTGACTGATTTGGTACTTGCACTCCACGCAACGCATTTGCGAGCAAAATGCTTGCATCTGCACACTGAGCTAGTGACTGCTCCTGGCCGCAAAGCCCAAAAAAATACAGCAACGCCAAGATTTCATAGCCCTCTTGCAAGCTTTAGGTTCTGCAAGGGTGTCTTTGGCTGACTGTCTTGTGAGTTGTCTAATCCTTCACTTTTGACGTGGGTTAGAACCATGGAGCGAGAAAGCCAAGAAAGTAGAACCAATTGTTTCTCGATCGCATGATTTGTATTGTATATTATATTATATTATATTATAAGTATTAAAATTTGTTTAAGTAGCATTGCAGTAGCATGTTGCAAATGGGATCCCGCCGGATCCGGCCTGCGTCGGGATTTGGCGACCTTGCCAAGTGGCATGTGGATATGGGCCCTATGGGCCGGCCACTGTCGGCCTAAATCAATACTCTGGATACAAAATTCCAAATGTGGCTCGACTTACTGTACTTATTTTTTTTCTTGGTGTCTTTGCTCCATTTTTCTACCATGTCTGGAGTTGATGCGTCGCAGGTGATCAAGCGGCACGGCTGAGCGATGTTTTGAACTTTCCACTCAGGCTGTCACACAATGTCTCCAGCCTGTTAAACGATCTGAACAAGACATGTCTTATGCAGGGGCAGCTGCCTTGAGTTGCAATAGTGTCCTCACACATTCAATCCACACACAGTAGAGAGGTTCTTTACGCCACTGAGACTGTGTTGATGGAGGGGCACTTGCGGCTCAATACCTTTAATTCATTTATTCTGGAGCTCACAGAATCTCCGATGTATATGATAAAAGGTTTGACTTTAATGACAACTCTCTTGCTGGCCCAGTCTGCTATGCTACTGGATTCATCACGGTCCGGGAAAAAAACAAACAACAATTGACAATTTTGTTACTTTAGCTCGGAGCGCACCTTCACTGGAGTGTATCCTGGACAAATGAAATTCAGATATGACACCTTTGGTCTTTGTTACCTCGTGAACTGGCACGACGTCACGACGTGTGAGTTGTTCCAAAAAAAAATGCAAGCAGCTTGGCAGCTTCATCAGGTATCAATGAATTTGGGATGCAAAATCTCCAAGTCCTTCGCCAAACCTAAGTACAGGAAACCGACTTACTGGACATCAAGTGACCAAGCACCATGGACCATGCACATTCTTGTTCGCAAATGTATGTTGCATCAACAGAAGAAAGACAATAAACTTGAATAAAATGATATGAATGATATATAATGATATACATATTAATATAAAGTATTAAATATATATATATATTCATATATACTGTAATATGAATAAAGTATTAAATGTGGCCAAATCATTGGCCCATCCGGGCATGTCATGTCTAGACTGCTTTTCACCCAATGTGACACCGGGGACATGCAAACTTCAATCGAAATTCAGGGGACCAGTCCATGATGGGATGTATTGGGTGACATCACACAAGACTTTGCTGGGAGGTGTCATTGAAGCTAATTTAGTGCCTTGACGCCAGCCAAGGAACGACATCATCCCGACCTAATGGTCCAGCGATCAAAGATTTGCGCAAGATCTCATCTGTGACTATAGAGGAAGAGGAAGAATTCAATGAGCAACCCAAATCCTGCTACCTGGTTTTCCTATTCAACAGCCTGCAAGAAAAGGTCCCTACCATCTTCCAGAAGGACATCTTGCTTAAAGAAACAAGACTCCTCGCAAGGCTCAAACCAAGATTTGGCAAATGTAAGACGCTTTGTAAGTCTAAGGCGCTTGTTGTCTGCACATGGATCCAACAAAAATCCAAGGGGTCCAACACTTGTTCCAAAGAGCTGTGTTTTTCTTGCCTTTCCATCGATGCTGAGGCTTTAACTCCACGCTTCGTAGATGGTGGAGGAGCCGCCACGTCAGCTTCGAGCCAAAAGCTGTGCGGAAACTGCGGAACCTGCGAGAGCTGCGGAACCTTCGAGATGTCGACTGTCACTGTGATCACTGTGATCACTGTGATAAAGAGCTCCACACAGTCGACATCTCGTGGCACCACGTATCTCTGAAAAGTCGGCACATGGGACATGCTGGTCGTGACGACGGTGCCACTTGGAGAAGTAGATCTCACGTGAATGCATGAATGCAAAATGCAGAACCAAGCAAAGAACGATTTAACCAACCCAGCACATAGATCGCATATCACTGCGTCTATGAATCTTTGTATTTGCTTTTCATTGAAATCACTGTCCTTTCGCTTGCTACACATTCATGTGTCAAAAACATGTGGAGATGTGTAGAGTGTAGAGCCATTGCTGACACACACACACACACCAACTGGGAATCGGAACGCTTCTGTTTGGCAGCTTTGGCTTTAGCCTTTACCTCGCCACGCATTTCAATACTTTGAGTCGAGATATGACGGATGTGTTTGCTGAGCATAGAAGATACAGCATACAGCAGCCAATGTAAGTCTCAAAAACGACAGAAAGATACCAAACCTTTTTGTGCTTCTGCTCCACTTTCACTGCCCTGACAAGAAACGGAGAAGGCATATTATGGATGTCTCTGTCACAGATTATCAGATTCGGTGATTTGCTATTTACAGTAAGCTGCAAGCTGCTGAAAGCTGCAACGAGACTGAGTGAAACATAGTAGAGCATAGTAGAACATAGTAGAACACTAGAATAATATTAATAAGGCTCTCCAGCCCAACCGTTACCCTTCTGAGCACCCCACCCAGTGTTTGTGGTCGGCTTACTTTTTCCAATTTGTGTCTTCTTGACCTTGACACAGCGCGGAGGCACACCAAGATCCACTGCCAGACGCTCTCTAGAAACCGTCGGCCTTCAACAATCACTGATGACGCAAGTGGCAAAACATGGCAAAACATGGCAAAATTACATTCTCCACATAAAGTGTTTCTGTATATCTGTAAAATTTTGCCAGTGAATTACTCTGGGTGGAACTGAGTGAACTGCATACTTGCCCATTGCTCCAGAACGAAACAACTTGAAAAGTCTTGATGAAAATAAACCCGTTTGAAGCTTTGAGTGATGCAGGCCAAACCACGGCTAGCAGACCAGTTGGTAGTGTTCTTGTGTCGCTTTTGCAGGACTGAGGATTGTCAATCTGTACTCTTTCTGCAATCTATTTCATCACTACATTATGGCTGTGCATTGTTACATCAGGTCAACATGGCCTTTTCTGTTCTGAAAAAACCCACAATGTTTTTCAAACATTAGCTCCTTTGACTACAGCACCTACTTCGGTTGGGTCTTTGCACAAAATCACATATGGCAATTCTTCCATTCCACACCCTGGTTAAAAGCCACTGTGAATTGTGTGCCTCACAATTGGGCATACATCAGTTCACCTTTTCCCATTTGCTCCTTTTAGGGCCCAATGCCCATATCTCAGGGAGCATTCCGGCTTAGGGCTCACCCATGGGCATCTGAGCCGTGGTGACGCTACCAGCGGCCCTACCAGCAAAAGGCCGTTGCACCTTCGGCAACTTGCACTTCGTGAGGCAATGACCTGATTCAATTGGCATCTGAATCAACACTGGTAGCGGAGCCCCGTCCTGGGGCGACCTACCACAGGGACAAGTCCACCTACAACCACTTTCACTTGGACTTTAGCAACAACGAGCCCAACGCTACATCCAACCTACATCATTTCTGAGATCTTCGCTGGTTTGCAGTGCTTGGTGTTCTTGCCCCTCTGGCCGATCATCCTCGAGCTCTAAATGTAGTGCTGCGCTCTACTTTTTAAAGAATGACCTCAGCGGCGGCATCAAATCCGATGCATGGCGTGGACTTTGTCGAGGACACCTACATCCCGATCTTCACCAACAAGCCCAGCGGCTACAAGGAATGGCGCCAACGGATCTTGCTCTACAAGAGCGGCATAAACAAGAAGCAGAAGGAGGCGACCATCAATTTGATGACATTCCTCAGTGGCATTGCTTGGAAGCAGATTGAGGGGATCGCTTAGAAAGCTGCGGAGTCCGACGATGGCTTCATGACGATCCTCAACAAGCTGGACAAGACCTTCAAGTACAACGACCAAGTTGAGATGCCGAGAGCCTTCGAGAAATTCTTCTTTGGACTTCATCGACGAGAAGGCCAAACAATGATCAACTACGTGGCGGACCACGGTGAAGCCCTGGCCGAAGTTGAGAAGCATGGCATCAGCATAGCTGATAAAGTTGCTGGATGGCTTCTTCCACGTCGAGCTGGACTCATCACCGAGCAGAAGCAGATGGTGCAAGGACGAGCATCTGAGTTCACACAGACCTCAGTCATGGAGGCCATCTACTTTCTGTTTGGACAAGACTACAAAGGACGTGCCGGAGACAACAGAAGTTGGAAGTCCGGCAAGGGCTATGGCTTCAAGATGGTCCCGCAACCAGGACTACATGGTGGAGGACGCCTACGAGATGGATGATGAAGAATGGCCTGAAGAAGCCGATGACGATGCCTCCAATTGGGAACAATGGGATGACGAAGCCTATGCATGAGATGGAAGAGAACTACGAGGATGGGTATTACACCTACTTCCCTGAGGAGCACGACCTTGGCGACGAGCACTACGCTGAAGCTGAGCAATAATATGAGGAGATCTATGCGACGTACTTGGATGCCCGCCGACAGATGGCGAACATGAAAGCCAGCCGTGGCTTTTACCCTGTCGTTGCCCTGGCTGACAACTCATCGTTGCCGGGTCTCCAACCAGCCAGGGCCCGCGACCCCCCAAGTCCAAGGGCAAAAATGGCAGCCCAAAGGTGGAAGAATCCAAGCTAGAGGACACGCTGCCTCCAAGTGTTTGCGATGCGGCAAGACAGACCATTGGGCTCACAGACAAGCGCACCACCATAGAAGTGCTTGTGACCCAAGACAAGCTAGCTTGCTCTGGCTCCACTCCAAATGGGTTTCCAGTGAACAACAATATGCTGATGGCCTCACCAAACAAAGCGCTGCCCAACTGCTAGCCGACAGGCTACGTTTCCACTTGGTCAAGCTGAAGAGCGACATGTCGTTTCAAGCTGCAAAGAAGAAAAGCCCGCAAGAGAGAAAGCGCACAGCCGAGATGTTTGCTGTGAAGCGCCCCCGGAAGAGCGATGATGGCGATGTTCGCTATGTGCTTGAATGCCTGTTCTGCTGCTATGAAGACCTCGGAACCACACCACACCACCAACTATCACTACATTGACCTCAACCTGGACATGACTGTGCTGCTCTTTACCGCGATTCTGGCCTTTATCATGGGCAACTTCCTGATGCACGGCATCAAGACCATGTCATGGACGCCTTGGCTTGGATAGCTCCTTCGAAGAAGAATACCTCGAAGAGGTTAGTAGACCTGGAGATTGAGAACTACCGCCTGCAGATCGTGCGACTCCAAGATTTCACCATTTCCTTGGAAGCCCATGAAGCTGAGATGGAAAGGGTGGAGACTGAGAAAACCAAGCTGATTCGAAATCATCGGCGAGAGCTACCTGAGATCACCCAGAACCCAGTCTTCTTCACTCGAAGCGGAAGAGCTTGGCACGCTGATGAAAGGTGCCCTAGAAGGCTCACAGAACAAGGTATCTTCATGCGAGGATACTGCACCCTATGTGCTCACTTTCTTGGACGTGAAGTTCCAGCTGGTGAGTTTGGCGAAGGTGAGCCTGAACCCGTGCCCGCAGATTAGCTTTTGAATTTCTTTCATCACACCATTTTCACCAATGTGAATTGTGTGCCTCACAATTGAGCATACATCATTTCACCTTTTCCCATTTGCTCCTTTTAGGGCCCATTGCCCATATCTCAGGGAGCATTCCTGGTTAGGGTTCACCCATGGGCATCTGAGTCGTGGCGACGCTACTGGCGGCCCTACCAGCAAAAGGCCGTTGCATCTTCGACAACTTGCACTTCGTGAGGCAAGGAACTGATTCAATTGGCATCTGAATCAACAGCTACGGAATGAAAGCACTCTGTGTGTGTGCTCCCTGTGAAAGCCTGCAATTCACACAAGTCTGAGCCAAAAACAACAAGTTGATACAACGTACTGATAAAAGTAGACCAGAGTTTTGCATATATAGAAGGCAGAGTACTGTGTCAGCACTGGATGCCGAGACCAATGCACTTTGTCCCCTACCAAGAAGGTGCTAAAAGTTCAATCTGGAGCACAAAGATCGTGCCGCGGCGAACTCAACTCCCAAAGCTCCAGACACAAGTTCCCAAAGCTTCAATCTTTTTCCACGGCCCAATCTCCTCTGCAATTCTGGATCTTGAACCTGTCTGGACTTCTAAGAAAATCTTGAGCCTACTGCCATACGTCGGAAGATAATCAAGACTTGCAACAGCCAAACGCAGGAACCAAATCAACTGGAGTTTCACTCCACACTACGAAACTTGTTAGGTGAACATCTGTTCCAGGCTGTCGCAGCTCCAAGCCTTCGCAAAGAAAAAGAGATCGAGACAGAGAGAGACAGAGAGAGAGAGAGAGCATCGACGAGAGAGAAAGAGGGAGGAGGGGAAGGGAGGGGAAGGAGGGGGAGGAGAGGGGAAGGGAGGGGAAGGGAGGGGGATGGCGGAGGGAGGGGAAGCTGAGGGGAAGGAAACGAAAGGAAAAGAGAGAAAAAAAGATAGAAGAAAAGAAAGAAGAAAAGACAGAAGAAAAAACAAAAGAAAGGAGAGAAGAAAAGAGAGAAGAAAGGAGAGAAGAAAAGAGAGAAGAAGAGAGAGAAGAAAAGAAAGAAGAAAAGAGAGAAGAAAAGAAAGAAGAAAAGAGAGAAGAAAAGAGAGAAGAAAAGAAAGAAGAAAAGAGAGAAGAAAAGAAAGAAGAAAAGAAAGAAGAAAAGAGAGGCCCCAAAGGGAAAGAGGAAGAAAGAGGAAGAAAGAGGAAGAAAGAGGAAGAAAGAGGAAGAAAGAGGAAGAAAGAGGAAGAAAGAGGAAGAAAGAGGAAGAAGGAGAAAGAAAGAGGAAGAAGGAGGAAGAAAGAGGAAGAAAGAGGAAGAAAGAGGAAGAAAGAGGAAGAAAGAGGAAGAAAGAGGAAGAAAGAGGAAGAAAGAGGAAGAAGGAGGAAGAAAGAGGAAGAAAGAGGAAGAAAGAGGAAGAAAGAGGAAGAAAGAGGAAGAAAGAGGAAGAAAGAGGAAGAAAGAGGAAGAAAGAGGAAGAAAGAGGAAGAAAGAGGAAGAAAGAGGAAGAAAGAGGAAGAAAGAGGAAGAAAGAGAAAGAAAGAGGAAGAAAGAGGAAGAAAGAGGAAGAAAGAGGAAGAAAGAGGAAGAAAGAGGAAGAAAGAGGAAGAAAGAGGAAGAAAGAGGAAGAAAGAGGAAGAAAGAGGAAGAACGAGGAAGAAAGAGAAAGAAGAGGAAGGAAGAGGAAGAAGAGGAAGAAAGAGGAAGAAAGAGGAAGAAAGAGGAAGAAAGAGGAAGAAAGAGAAAGAAAGAGGAAGAAAGAGGAAGAAAGAGGAAGAAAGAGGAAGAAAGAGGAAGAACGAGGAAGAAAGAGAAAGGAAGAGGAAGGAAGAGGAAGGAAGAGGAAGAGTGAACCAAATTGTGCCGTCTAGGACGCCAAGATAAAAGAGTTGTGCGCAGGCAAATATGTAGCAACAAAACAAGTACAAGGTGCAGGTATAGGTTTGTGGTGACCGGGAGGTAACAGATAAATTCAACAGCATCAGGTGCAAAGATTGAGGGAGAGGACAAGCGACAAAAACATTTGATAGCTTTACGTACTAGTGGTAGCAACAGACGAAACGGGCGAGTAAACATCTGAGTTCAAGCGGCACATATCAGCAAATACGGACTGAACATTGAGATAATCCCAAGTGCACGTTGAGAGAGCGAGTGAAATCCAAGTTCATAGTGTAAAAGGCTAAAACTGGCCAGGAGTCATGTGGTGCTAGGGGTGGGAAATACCAAGAGCATCCAAGAGCCAGAAAAAAAAAATCTGGCGACACACAAGCGGTTCTACTTTGTCTATGGATATCTTATCTATGGTCTAATTGATCCTCATTGCCTAGTTTTGTAGCGCCTCAAACAAATGCCTCTCAAAAGTCCAGGTGAAACTTCGCGAAAACCATCTGAACCTGTCAACATAGAAAGCACACAGATCTCTTTCGGCAAGCAAACAGTGCATCTGGTCCTCTTCATAGATCGCTCTTTGAGAACAGTAAAATCATCTCTGTCTTTTCCGAAAACTTCAAACGTTGCAACTTGTTTGGGGACATTCGCACATATCACATGAGGATCTAATGGTTCAGCGATTCTGACTTCGTCTAAAAGTCCTCGAGATTTCGAAGCGTCACACAGCTGCACTTGTCGAAGCTGGTCGAAGCTTCGAAGTCGCTCAGCCAGGAGCTGAGTATAGCTGAGTCATATACTAGAAAGCCTCGGCGAGTCGGTCTACGGTGTCGACTTTGTGGAACTCAATGGAACTCACATGTGAAACTCACCCTAGACAGGCCTAGACAGGCCTAGACAGGCCAGATCAACAGATACTATGTCACTTTAAAGAAAGGTCACAGGAGGTGGCCAAATATGGCAACGGGGGACCAGCCCGAACTGTTGAGATTTCTCCCAAGCCAAACAACTTGAAATGGCAACTTTCGACCATGATGCCCTGTGGCTGCATTTGGCCAGCTATGGGCACTGCAAGGTGAAGGACAGTGAAAGGGCAGGTTTTGCCAAGTTGCAGTGCAGGTAGCTGTGCAATGTAATTTTTTGTGTGAGTGATTGCAAATGCACATGAGTGAACTACAGCCGTGCTTTAACCAACAAGGTCCCGGCCAGCAGTACAAGCCACATTGAGAGGAAAAGATGTTCACCTCACAAAACTCAGCTTAAAGACGTAAAAGATTTCAAATCTTCTGGAGCTGTCTGAGTCTTGAATCAAGAACTTAAAACTGAATATATGAACTCAAAAGCCAAGATCTAGACCGAGGCTGTCCTGCCGTGCCTGCCAGAGAACAAGAACCACAACACTCCAAACCGTCACGAAAAGGAAGACAGGCCCGTGACTTCAAGCAGAAGAATCGTTGGTTATCGTTAGGTTACTTGCTGCATGGAGTCCCGTTTGCTCAAGTATCACATCGGTAGAAAATGATCGCAGTACACATGTTTTGCAACTTCAGCTATTGTCTCCAATGTTCTTGTTTCTTCTCAAGCGCACATGGGTGGTGCAGCCGTCTATATAGTCATGTTGCCCCAGGTTGGTATACAGGAGCATGTGATTTGTAAGGAGCTTTAAACTTGGGTATTGCACTTCTGCCAGTGGCGCAATTTCTCAGTTGAGCTGGCAGGGCCATATGGCTTGAAAGGAGCTAAATATAGTCACCACAAAAGAGTTGACACGGGTTGAACCCTGGGTTTAATATGGTTGAATGGTGTCCATATTGCGGTTGCCTTCCATCCAGGAAGCAGCGGGCTCTTTAGTTGTTTGAAGTTCATTCTGTAGCCAAAGTCTTCCAAGTCTTGGTGGAAACTGTCTGAAGCCAGGTCCAGATTCGAAGAAATTCTTGACACACCATCTAGACATGGGAGGAAATCAGAGACTCCTATCAGTGCCTGTGCTTTTCTAAAATTTGATGCTGGGGACATTTGAAGAGGCACAAAGCTAAGTTGTCTCTTTGGATCCAAGTGCTTTGCAGTGAAAAAGCAGAGAGTCCCATTGCAAATCCAGAGGGTGATAAGAATCCAGAAGCCGACTGTCGTCGATAGCCTTTGCTTTAAAATTATTCTGCATGTTGAACTCCGGTTGCCATGTCTGAGTCTAGCAATCCACCAACGCGCGTCGTAAGATCAGGTTCGAATAGATGCAATCGACACGTACTTCCAGTAGCAACTTTGAAGGGGGCAGACAAGAGTGTTGACAAAGAATGAACTAAGAAGAAGTCGTTTTGGAAAGCAGAAACAAACAAACAAACAAAACAGAAGTCTCAGAGTCATCACGGCAAAAAAATTAAACATTGCAAGCAGCACGTCCGTAGAGCCCTGCTCGCCATCCAGCCTGAAGTACATCAGCGGGTCTCCGAAACAGAGACCATACCACTGTGAAGACTTCAAAGGCTTTGCCATATTTTGGGTCGCAATACTTTCCAAAGAGCAAAGAATTCAAAATGACAGAGACTCAGCATTTCTCATTCCACATGGGATCCAAACAAGCTCGGCTCGTCTACTTCCTGAACCTCAAATGTGCGACTGTGCAGAATCCGACAGTCAGGTTCAGTCGGTTAAACATGGTTAAACATGGTTAAACAAACTTCAAAGCTTTGCTCTGCTGTGCCAACTCGGTTCGCAACTTCACAAAGCCCCCGATCATCCTTGGAAGACTTCTGCGGGTAGTTCCACGAGTTCCATGTGGTTCCACGGCCATTTCGATTTGTTTAGAACCAAAAAACAAGAATTGGCATATGCGGCATAATCACTCAGTGATACTTATGGTTCTTACTGGCATTGCCACGAATTGTCATAGAAATTGCCATGAAAGAACCACAAGTGACACAAAATTGAGGCAAATTGCTGATTTGAGGGCAGGGCGTCCACCGAGTCTACCGAGGCTTGGCTGCATCCATCGCCTCGCCACAGCGAGGCAATCAAACATACAGCATTTATAGTATTTCAGTGTATTTCAATGTATTTCAGTACTATCTCAATCAGATCATCTGCAATCACTGCTATCTGATGTTAAATTGAATTAAATTTAAACCTATTGAAACATTCACATTGTAAAACAAAGTGTCGACTCAACACACGAAGCTGCAAGTCAGGCTATTCCGGCGTTGTACTCTCTCTTCGACAGTCTCAGACGCTGACAGGTAGGAGCCTTGCAAGATCAGGCACAACATTTAAAGATATTTAAAGGGACAAACATCATGGAACGCCTTCAGAACGCATTCCAACACATATGGCTCACTTGGGTGCATTGATGCGCGCTATGCTTCCAAACTGAACAAACACAACTTCAAGACATATGAGACTCAGAGTCCAGCAACGGTCAGGGTGTCTTGCTCCCAGACCTTCCTCACTTGCGCATGGATTCTGTGATATGCCTGTAGCAAACACGTTAATGCGCAAAAGCATGCAAAAGCGTCTCAACATAATTCCACCTATGGCAAATCACAAACGTTTCCATGCCAGAGCAACCCCACAAGATTTGATAAGGGAGCCTGCCGAAGCTGTCAATACAAACAAATCGCAAAGCAATGAGATTGACTGATCCAAAAAGGAACCTTGTGGCACGCTCGTTTGCAAGCAGATGCCTTGGATGGCGGAACTGACATCATTCGCTTCTCCTTCAACTTTGCAGAGCTACTTTCTCCCAGCTACTATCTTTGCAAATAAGGTGCATTCGAAATAGCCTTCAAAATCGTGTCCTTGGTTCAACATGGTTCAACTGGGAGGCAAAAGCCATGCACTTCACCGCCGTCATCTTCAGAGTCCTAAGGACCTCACACAGACCTGACACCAACATGCACCAATTTCACACAAATCTCTGACCTTCAAAGGCCTCACCCTCAGCTTGTATAGTATAGACTTCTCAAATTTGGTGATTGGGAGGCTAAAGTCGCTATATTTTCGATAGCTCAAAATGATGCAAAACATACTGGAAGCATTTGTTGTGTGTATATCTTGCTGCAGATTTTGAAAAGTACTACGGTGGTATTTGCATCGAACCAATCGTACAGTGTAAATGACCCTCCAGAAACTTCAATCTCATCCCTGCCCGTGTCGCGCAACTGGAACTATTGTAGTTTCAATGCCTTCTGCAGTTTTTGTGTAGTTTTTCTTCAAAAATCTAACTTGACACATCTGCGGCCCAGTGCCTCCTCGTGCCCAAAGAGAAGCCGCAGGAGCAGCAGAATCAGAGGGCACAACTTGGCAGATGGAAAGGTGCGTCCAGGGCATCATGGAGAGTTTCCAAGTAAATTGACACATCACGATACATGTTGAAACCATTTGACATCCATTATTTGATGCATTCTATATAAATATGTGTATCCTTTTTTTATCCCTTTTATACACCTTGAATCTTGGCTTTCTTCTTGATGCATCATGAGAGATACGGCTAACAACGTCCACCAGCAGCTCCACCTTCTCAGCTTTCACTGAGAACCACTGAGCACTAAACCCAGATAGGGCTATTCTGGAGAAGAGAACTGGCACGGTTTCAGGCACTGCAAAGACTTCAACGAAATGGAATGGACACGAGTCAGCCAGAATACAACCTCAAACCTGTGTCCTCAACCCTTATTGTTGATTTACTCAGCTAAAAATGACAAATTGTTCATCATACCACACAGAAATAGGTGTATAACGCACAGAAGGCTCTAGCCTCAGATTGGTTCTAAGTTCATCTAGCTTTTGTGCTTCCAAACAGATCGCAGGCCTGCATATGAAGGGCGTCATTTTCATGGGATGCACTTATGGAATTGTAAGGAACCCTGCCATCTTGGGCTTGTGCTGTGAGCCAAACGGCGTGATTCAAACGAATTAGTGAAATGATGTGAAGTGGATGACTTGGGCATCTCGAGTCAACAGCTCTTTGAATCGGCAAACTCATCTGGTCTGGCTCAATTGTCTCTTGCGAAGATGGGAAGAAAGCGAGGGGCCAAAAATGATCATGACTGCACGCACGCCGCTGCACGCCGCTGCACGCCGCTGCACGCCCTAGGCTTCACAGAATTGCACCTTTTTCTGAAAATGCTGAAGCTCGGCCATAGCTCAATGTCATAAGGACCCTCAGACCATATGCCATCCTGTGGCAAGACAGCCACCAAATGCGAATCACGTTCGGTTGCTTGCTCTTAAGAGCACATGATGCTAAATCAATCTATATCAATGACACTTGTTTAAATCTAAGTTTAAATTTACTTGCTTAGTTAGACCTCTGTCTGGATACCTTCAAAATGACGCAAAATCTGCGATCAGAACACTGCCTCAATTTCAAGCTCCAGGTGATAGCCATTGGTCTCCAGCCACGGCTGCATTCGAGGCTCACGTCTCAGCAGGGAGCCCCAAAGAACAAAGACCTCCGGTGTTGCATCAAAGTGTCGCAACTTCCACGGATTCTAGGAGAATCTGAACTTTCGTTTTTTCGTAAGACCCTTATCTCTGGAAAAGCTATGTGTGGTGACTGCAAAATTACACCGCTGCAAAACAAACTCCTACTACACCTGCAAGATTCAAAAGGGTTTCCGTTCATCCGAGGGCATCCTATAAAATCATCTTGGGGCGTTCGCATGTCTTGGCAACCTAGAAACAAAGTAGGAAGTAGGGTACAGTGCCGGATCAAGGGCCAAGGGAGACACAAAGCGCCCAGCCTGTGGAAGCGGCCAGCTTTTCTCATATCTGTAGTCCAAGCCTTCCACGAATGCCAAAATGATCCAAAATGCATGTACAATATATATTTTATAGAATATATACGCTATAATATGATGTAATACGATATAATATGATATAATATGATGTAATATGATGAACTATGATGTAATATTATATGATATGATAAAATATGATATAATATGATTTGATATAATATGATATAATATGATATAATATAATTTATATAATATTTAGAATTTAATATAATATATATAATATATAAAATAAATTATCTAATATATACTATATTATATTTATTAAAATATGTATATATATGTAATATAAAATAATATAATATAATATAATGTAATATAATATAATATAGTATAAATAATATAATGAAATAAAAAATGTAATATAATATTATATTTTAAAATATGTAGCAAATATATAATATATTAAAATATAATATCACGTGTTAGAATAGAATAGAATAGAATAGAATAGATTAGAATATGATATAATATAATATATTATATTTAACAGAATTAATATATATATATATAATATTATATATAATTATATAATATATATAATATACAATATATATATATGTTATTTATATATATATATATTACATATATTATATTATATATATCATATATATTATATATAACATATATCTTCTATATTATATATATTGTATTATATAAAATATATCATATAAATTATCTAATATATAATATATTATATGTGATATGCAATATATAATCGAAGGAAGTTTAGAAGTCAAACTTCCGACAATATGAGAAGACAAAGAGTAAGAAGAAAGAAGATGCAGATGCGTGAAAAGGTAAGAAAGTCGCAAAACACTGTGTTTTTCCAATGATTTGGGGCTCCGGAGGGTCGAAAAGTAGGCTCGCTAAAGCAGCGGGTGCGGACCCAGCTGGCCAGATGAGAGATGAAAAATTGCAAGCCGTTGTGGCGCGAAGCACATTTCCAAGTCAAAATGTTAAAAACACCAGGGGTTCGGACCACTTTTGGAGGTTCAGATGTCGAAAAAGTGCACGCCGTTGTGGCGCGAAGCACATTTCGAAGTCAAAATGTTAAAAACACTAGGGGGTCGGACCACTTTTGGAGGTTCAGTTCGCTTCACTACAATACACTACATTACACTACACTACACTCCACTACACTACAACTACAACTACGACTACACAACTACACTCCACTACACTCCACAAAACGAAATTACACTACACTACACTACACTACACTACACTACATTCCACTACACTCCACTAAACTATACTACATTACGCTACACTACATTACACTGAATGACACTGCACCACAGATAGACAGGTAGACGGATAGACAGATAGATAGATAGACAGATAGACAGGTAGACAGCTAGACAGATAGACAGATGAAAGAGAGAGAGAGAGATAGATAGATAGATAGATAGATAGATGGATGGATGGATGGATAGATAGTAGGTAATTAGATGAAAGAGAGAGAGAGAGATAGATAGATAGATAGATCGATCGATAGATAGATAGATAGATACATAGAAGATAGATAGGTAGGTAGGTAGGTAGTCAGAGAAAGAGAGAGAAAGAGAGGAGACCTCAAGCACCTTTCGGTCCATCAGTGGATTCGCTCTGCCATCCCTGATTCACAACAACCAATCTCTCCTATAGGTTTCCTATTTTTGAAACTTCCGCCACCGCCTTGTGCGGTACTACTGGTATATCATATATATTTTTATTTATATATATACATAATATATCATATATAATATAAAATAATATAAGATAATGTAAAAAAAAAACGGTTAAAACAAAAGACGATGTCCATTTGTCCAAGACTAGCGTGCACCAACAGATGTGGCTGACACGCAGAGCTCCAAACCCAACGAAATCCTCTCCAAAGATGATAGAAAGGGAACCAAGCGAGTGCTATGGCTATGGCAATACAGTACATTGTGATCGAGTAGATCGAACAAACATGGTAATCACCCTGCAAATGGCCGCTAGCATGAGCTACAACTGGTAGCCACACTCAATGCGGTTGCCCGCATTTCAAATTCCCAAAACATATAAAGAAGTACAGTCAAAAAATATGTTGGTGTGTGTGTGTCTGTGGAAGATGACGAATAAATTTAAATGTAAAGCATGTCAGAAAAATGCGAAGTAATTAGTATGAAATGTCTGTCATGATATTGAAATTTGGACCTCTTTGCCAACAATGCAGCAAATCTCAAGCCGGAATACTGGCAAATCAAAGCTTCTGAGACTAATGTCGCCAAACCTGTGTAGAGAATATACCAATATATCTCTTACGAGGCCAAATCGCCTCGAAATGATTTTGCAAGCCACCCAAGGAAATGCCTCTGGCAATAAATTCCAAAAGATTCTCTAGGCGCTTTGATGGCATGACTCTCCTAAAACAATTCAGTCATTAGGCCAGGAGGTAAACATTTCGACATTTCGATATCAAAAGTTCCTCCGATTCCCATTCTGAAAAGGATTAAACGAGTGGTTAAAAGTGGTTAAACATTGAAATCGTTCGAGTTCGCATATGCCACTGGCATCCACTGGCAGTGCTGAGGAAGTCACAGGGCTTCAGTGCAGCTCCTTTTGGAGGACCCTCTTCAGTTGCGTTGTGCTGTGCCTGAAAAACTGCCACATGCAGAAACGAAACAGGAAAAGAAACACCAATGCACAAGCCAATACTCCAACTTCCTCAGTAACATAATCTAACATTCATCTTCTCAAGCTTATTCGAAAAGTCAAACAGCAATGCAGCCTATGGAGAACCTCGTTTGTTCCAGTTTGCCCAACACCTTTTCGAATTTGGATGAATTTCGATGTTTCGATGTCGCTTGAGACGACCTCTGGGAAGAGCTCCCTCAACACGGGCATCGGTTGCTCGAAGAAACGCTTCTGAGGGCTGTTTCGCCCGGGAGAACCTTGACGTGGCGCACGTGTAATCGCAAAGTCCGACAAGAATGAAGTCTCTAGCGAATGCATGAAGAACATTGAAGAACCATGAAAATATCTTCATGAACAGATTCGGGCAACAGAAACCGAGTTTGGACACCTCCCACGATGCACTGGGTAAAAAAATATTTCAAACAGAACCCCCTCGAGTTCAAAACACACAGGAGGAAGAACGCCGCAGAGAGCCAAAGAAAACAAAGCTACATATTAGTGGATGTGTTTAGTACATGTTTCATTCACGTAAACACAGAACGTTGGAAAATCGGAAGAAAAACATGAAAACGAAACCAAATATATGATCAATTGTGGAAACATCAACGTCACATTGCTTTGTCTCAAAATTGGGGATACCCTAAATGACTTTATTTTCAGACAAACTCATGATTTTTCAAAGACCTTCAAGCTCTGAAGCTTTCGAGCCACAATCAAGATATCCAAGCTCCTCTTGACCGTGCAAGAAGCTGTGAAAGGGCGTAGCATGGCCTGGGAATCCAAGGCCTAAAATTAAGGAATGTCAGAGTCTGTCAGAGTCTGTCAGAGTCTGTCAGAGTCTGTCAGAGAGTTGGACTTAGTTGAACTTGTAGCCATGATGTGAAACCGCCTTGACTATGTACAATGTACAAGACTTGAGTCAAGCAACTTTGATCACCGAAATGATATCTGACCAGATTTGCGAAGCGCAAAGCTATAAATGCAGTCTGGCAGCAAGCTGTGAGGAAGAAAATGCCACCCCCTGCAGGGCCAACCAAAGCTTTAGGAAGGGTGAAGTTGCAAAGTTTCAAAGCAATACATGTATCATGTAAAGAACACTATATATATGTATACATAATATTATATATATTATATATACATATATATATTATATATATTATATATACATAATATTATATATATTATATATTTACATATATATATATATATGTATACATAATATTATATATATTATATATACATATGTATATATATATATTATACATATATATTATACATATATATATAATATTATATATATTATATTTACATATATATATATATATATTATACATATATATATATTATACATATATATATATTATACATATATATATATATTATACATATATATATATATTATACATATATATATTATACATATACGCGCAAACACCCCGATTCGCCCACACCCCTTCTATGCTGTACACTTGGGGATATCAAACGTTAGACTTTACATTCAATTGGGAAGATCAACAAGGGTATTTAGGGAATATAAGTTTCCCACCCCCGTTAAACTTTATATTCATTGAAGATCTTCAATAAGGGTTTAATTCTCCCACCCCCGTTAAACTTCTACATTCATTGAAGATCTTCAATAAGGGTTTAATTCTCCCACCCCCGTTAAACTTCTACATTCATTGAAGATCTTCAATAAGGGTTTGATGATGATGATGATGATGATGATGATGATGTGTAAGAGACTCGTGCTGTGCGTGCCGATATACAACATGAACTTAGCCATGATCAAAAAAACTCCCATTTTTACCACGTGTTCAGCACATACGAGGATTGCCGCCGACAAGCGCGGGCAAATCAAGGTGTTTGCCCGTACATATATATATACATATATTATACATATATATATATATATATTATACATAGATATATTTATATATACATTATACATGCAACTGTTTGTATCTATATGAAAACAATGTATAAACCTTGATCGGTTCCTTCGTTTGTTTTGCTTTCAGATCCTTTGCTTCTTGACGAGCTGCGTGCAGGATAGTTCCTCAAATGAGTCATGACCTCGCAGCGTTTAAGTCTGGCAAGCGGTGAGATCTTTCGCCCAGCAACTCGCAGCAAAGTGAAGCATAAAGAGCAACGAGTCACAGGGAATCCATCGAAGTCTGGAAATCTGACGCGACTGGGTCTCAGCAGAAATCACAAGTTCATGAGGGAAACACAGATCAAATGTCTTTCAATGAGGCACTGCTTCAGCTCCTCGTTGATGCACCACACAGAAAAAAATCGCCGCAAACACCTCAATGCAAGTTGACTCAACGAATCCATCAAAATCAACAACAAACCTGAAGGCATTTTTCAACAACGAACCAATATGCTCGAAATGTCGAAACATCAAGCAAGATCTGTCTCTGATGCAGGCAGCCTGCGGGACGAATACCACAGCAAGAAGGTAGAACCGCGCACGTGCCGCGGACTTTGCCTATCCAACAGAGTTTTCAAGAAACGGGTTTCAAGGGATTTCAAGGGACTCCTGTGGCAAAGAGGACTGAGAACCCGGTAGTCTGACAAGAAGTTTTTGCATCATGAGTTTCATGAGTTTCTTGGCCAATCTGTTCATATGGGGAACATAGTGCCCTCGCACCTGCAGCCAAGCGCTGGCTCTTTGAAGGCCTAATCCTCACGAGGTTGCAGATGTGTTGATGCCGTTTGGCACTTAGCAAGATTAGGGAAAACAACGTCTGATTTTGTGTAATCATGTTTGAAAATGTTTCATATGTTTCGATGTTGGTCCCAAAAAAATAAGAAAAATAAGTGTTGGGTGTATGGTATAATTCTCACACAGATCCTCTTGTTTGACCTGAGGGTAAAAAAGAGAGAGTGACAAGTCCAAAGACGGGAAATGACTGCAGTTAGAAAGACAAGGCAAGAAGTTAAGTTAAGGCCAGAAGCTCCAAAGGTTGCACATGAACAGTTTACAGTCCCAGCTCCTGCAAGCAACGAGAACAAGGGAAAGAAAGGCAACCTCAGACATGTTAAGACATGCACACCTTAAAGGATCAGATCGTGCTTGGAACTTCGCAGATCTGAGATCAAAGATAAACTCGGTCTGCCCAGGCACAGGAAGCGATACTCCTCCACAAATGGATGGATACGAATTTTGCCGGACTAGCTTGCTTTCTAAATCACTCGTATTTGGGGAATGCCCTCCAAAAAAATAAATCAACATTGAGTCTGTAGCTTGGATTTGCTTAAGGGGTCCTCAAAAAGTAAAAAATATTCACTATAGATTCCCCAAATGGTGGATTTCCTATTGGGAAAATAAAAAATCACCTTAAACAAAACCCAGGTAAACATGATAAAGAGACTGAACAATACTTGCCATTGCTTACCAACTTCTTCTGTCCGAGCCCTGAAACCAGAGCGAGAGATCCGAATAGATCCGCATGTTTGTCAAAACAACCTTTTTTCACCAATGGCCCAATGGTCCTTGTGAGATGCCAAAGATATCAGCAGAATGCTGGCAAAGGCTGAAAAAACAAGAGGTCGTAGAGGATGGCCGCTGCCAACTGCTCTCAAGCCTCATGTACGAGGTGCATACAGTGCATACTCAAAGTTTAAGACTTGTACTATCCTGAAGAGCAAGAACATCTTCAAGTATCTGGATCTTCGACTTTATCTCATTATCCCAGGCTATCTCTTGCTGCGGCTCACGTTTCCGTCTCTCTTAGGATACAGTAAATTCACCGCAACTGAGTGATGAACCTATGCAGCAAAAAGGCAGAAAAGTCCCAAGCGTTACAGCCTAAGAGAGGCGCAAGTGGACAATGGGAGTATCCGATCAGCTGCCAACAACCAGTCACTGGCATGTACTCGAGAGTACAGTGACTGTACAGGATGCAGGGTCTGGACTGGCCCTCATGGTGCTCGTTGTGCTGCTGTATGGTTTTCCAATGGCGGAACATTGCCCCAAAATTCTGGTCTTTGCGCAGCAATGCTGCAACAACGGAGCGATTCTGCCCCAGAGTGCCTGTGTTGAACTTTCTTGAATCTGAACTAAGGTTGAAGTCCAAAAGGGTCCAGACTTGTATTTGTTTTTCGCCAAGTACTGTTCCTTCCGCGTTGTGCCCTTTAAATGCATGATTACATATGATTACCAAGAGAGGTGTGCCTTACTAAAAACAGGATGATACAGAGGGCAAAACCAAGCAAGGTAATCATTGTATTAATCCCCGTTATCCTTCATTTGTGGTGGTTATCTTATAGGGGTGGTTATGCTCTTTTCATCTCTTTTCTTTTGTTTTTTTGGTTTTTTTCCTGGTGTTTTTTGGGGAGAGAACAGCAGTGCGCCTGCTGTTTGTAAATCCTCTTCGCTCCTTACCGTTTCTCCCTTACGATAAATTTATCTTTGGTATTCATAAGCATATTCATATCTAGCATATATGCATCTGCCGCCCATGAGGATGTGCTTGGGAAAACTTCTGCACCCAGAACTTCAGTCTCTTCAGTCTCTTCATTCATTGAAGTGTTTTTGTGCTGGGGCAGCTGCCAGGCCCTCTGTGAAATACCAATGCCAAGGGTGGCTACCATACAAAGCACTGCCATCTGCCAGAAGGTTGAAACGTAGAAAGTTCCTCAAAGGTGGCACTGCGACATGATGTGACAAGATGCTTATCACGTACAGGTACTCAGCTACTCCCACACAACATGACAACACGACGACAAGGCGACATGGCACCATGCTTTCATGTGAACAGCTGAAAACACTTGTCGAGTCACAGAGGCACGAGGGTGAATCGCCCATAGTACAAGCAGTCCAGTAAAGTGGAAAAGGACAGAACTACACCCGAGATCAGCAATCCTGCATAAGAACTTCGAAACCACTGACAGCGCCAGATTTTGAGCTGGGATTCTGAGATTGCATTTTCTGTTTATCCATTTTGATTTAAATGTTCTACGCTTCTCCTGGAGCAAGAAGCCCAGAAAACACTCCATGTAGATCTCCACATTGGAGTAGCACATACATCTGCGGTTTCGAGCAAAATATTAAAAATAGATAAAAATGATAAAAATCGAACAAAGAGTGTGAATCTCAGTGAGCACAAGTTGTCTTACGAGTCTCTGCAGCACTGCGAAATTTCTACGCTTGAGCTCAGAATCCTCATTGGACATGAATACAACAGAGTGAATTGCCTTGTAGATGGCCCAGGAAAGCCAAAAACCTCCACAAGGACCATCCAGATAGAAAGACTCAAAAGACGGATATCTATTTAGTTCATTTTAGTTCTATATGCATTTTGAATCATTTTCACATAAAAGTAGAAACCCCAGCAAAATCCTTCCAAGCTCTGGGTGAACTTGATTATGGAGGAATGCGGATAGAAATACTGGGACACAAACCAAAATGAGTAAAGTTTAAGTAAAGGCTTGCTTAGCACAGCTGGGAGCCAACATAAGCACATAGGCATACATAGGCAACATTTCGATCAGGCCTGCTGCAGTAGGTCGGAGCGCCACTTGCAATGAGCCAAGAAGCAGGAGCCATCGAGTTTGCCGAGTTTGCCATTTGGCGACGCTGGAGCTGGTGGAGCTAATCGAGCGCTCGACGATCCAGGCAGCCAGCACGGCTTCGAGAGAGCTGGAGAAAGTCCTCGACATGTTCAAAGCTAGAAAACCATAGAAAACAACTAAACGAAACTAAACGAATCTATACGAAACTACAGAAAAATGATGGAAGAACTTAAGAATCGACATGAATTGATGTGTCCCAAGAGTCAATTTCCTTGGAGTTTCCTCTTGATTACCCGTGTTTCTTCATGTGGAACACATCTAAATGCTGTGCCTTGGTAGAGCATAAAGCTGGAACCAGCCAGTGAGCTGCACACTCAACGCCCAGCAGGTCAACGGACTGCCCAGCCTATCGAAACACCCCTGTTGGGTTCTCGGCTCACACTCGGTTCACACTCGGTTCACACTGTTCTTTTCCAAAACTCCAATCTCTTCAAAGATTTCAACAAATTCCGCTTGCGTTTGCTTCCATCAACTATGCTCGAACCTGTCTGCACTCCTGTAGACAGCCTCAATACCATGTTTGGTATGTGATGTTTGTTGAGAGGCAGCAAAGAAGCAAACCCTACAAACTGACTCGTGGGCTCAACATGTACGTACTCCGCACAAGAGGCAGCTGTCGAAAATATTCTGATTCGGCTGCTAGCGGCTAAGCGGTTGTTGACTTAGAGTGTGTGTGGACAAGCTTGAAGGCGTGTAGAATGACCATGGACCATTCCTTGTTTTTTTGCTGAAGTGATATAAGTGATATATAGTGATATACAGGTTAGAAAAAAATACAAAAGCAACGCAACAGGAATCAACAATAAAATAGGAGCAAAGAATCTAGCTTTTGTGGAAACTCTTTTTCAGTCTTTGAGATCCAAGAGCTGAATTTCTTGGTAAAATACGTCAATTCAGAGATGCTCAGAGATGTTGAAACCGATTTGTCGTCAAAGCCTGAGGTTTGTGCCCAATCTGCCAGTGAGGCGAACGCGCCCTGCAGCAATCGGGGCGCATAGGCCACGAGGACGGGCCACTCCGGCAGCAAGGCCAGCAGCAAAGCGAAAAGCCCTGGGATCAGGATCACTTCGCTCTTCGCTCAACCCTTGAGAAGTTACAACTGTTTTTTTTTGAAGAACCCAGTCTACAGAGTCTACATATATGAATATTAGATAGATACATAGTTACATACATTATATATACAATTATAATTCCATATATATATATAGTTATAATAGTAATATACATAAATACAAAGGAACGTCGTAGGTATCTCCACCATGAATCACAGTGAGGGCAGAATGCATATTTAGGTCAGAAAACGGAATTGAATAATGTTTTGAGTTCACAGGACATGCCCACAGCTCACGCGTTTCAAATGATTTTGTACGGCTTCGTACGGCTTCGTTCGTTTCGGTTTATCTCAGTTATCTCCATTCCGGACTCTCCGGCCTGGGTGCAGAACGCCGCGAAGTGCGATGCAGGTCTCCCATTCCCAGGTGAGGTGACCACCATAGCACCAGGCATGCGCAACCTCTGGGCCTTGCCAGTACTCATCCTGAGAAAGCCCAGACTTTCCCAGGTCCCAGGCTTTCAGGCCATGTTTCAAAGTTTTGAAACAAAGGCCATCAGTCTCATCAGGATCAAGGTTTTAGAGTTTTTTAGTTGTCTGGAAATTGTTTCCGTTGAACCAATGACTTGTACTGAGACTCAACTGTCAAATCTTTGTTCTAAGTGAATCTAAGTGAATCTAAGTGACAGGATTGAACGATGTTCGAATGAGCACGGCATTCAGCAGTCGCAAGGTCAGGAGCCAGGGACCTTTGTACCGGATCCAATCATTCCAAACTGAAGCCATTGAAGCGAAGCCATCCATTTCTCAACAGATTGGAACATCTGTTAGCGATCCAGGTTAACATCTGTTTTCGGATTGTTCCAATTGTTCCAATCCTCCAGGTTCAGCAGCACCGCGTTCATTGGTTCTTGGGCCGATTGAAACGACACACAAATACAGATTGATGAGTACAACTTAGATCAACATAGTAGAATTACAACTGGGTTTTTAACTCTGGACACATGTTTGACATATTCTTTAAATTGTGATTCTGGATAACTCTGAATCACCATCTGGGAGAGCTTTGTTCGACCAAAAACTTCAAGACAAGATATTTCAAGTCTTCAAAGCACTGGGAGCCAAAAGCCCAACTACACTGCAAGAGGTTGTTGATCTGCAAATGCGGCCTTCTCAGCAAAATGATGCCAGCAAAATGCGCCTTTTTTCATCCTCGGTCTTGACCAATTCCCGCAAACGCTGGACTAGTCCTTCACCTGATTCTACTGGAATATTCGCTCGCCGCGCTTCCAGTGAAAGTCTTTCTGCCAAATCCTACGATCAACAGTACGTGTTCAATGATTTCAATTATCAATTATGAACGCAAAACTGAGAAACCAAACACACAAGACTCCGCAAATCAGACATCGCCATGTCACATTCTGCATCTCGTAGCTGCGTGAAAACATTATGCTTGGAACTTAGCCTCCTATTTCTGTCCTCATCATAGCCAGATTGCGAATGGTCACCTGGTAGCGGCTCCAATGGTGAAGAAAGCCATTCTGTGCATATGCGGTGTTTTTGCATCAGAAGAAAAGTTGCAATGCACTTGTGATGTTCCTCTGTCATGTGACTTTTGATTCATTTTCCTCGAAACTATGTCATGATACAGAAGCTAAATACCCTTAGGAACGCATTCTGAAACGATACTATCCCTCTTCCATCTCCAATGCATATGTTAATAGGATTTAATAGGGTCGTCATCACAGATCTAGATATTTCTAGCTTGCCAGTTTCATCCAGTTTCTACATTGCACCTGACTAGTGGAAAGTGTTTGGTGGGCCTGGGTCCTGCAGCAAATTGAGCAATATCTGTGCTGCAGCTTCTTGGTAGATGGACTTGTCCTGCAAAGAACAAGCTCCAACAGCTGTCTTGGCGCATCAACCTTGGAAAACAAAAAAAAAAAGAACTTGGGGGGCCATTCTGCAGCTTATCTTGTGCCCTTTGAATTGATCATTTTCAAAATGCCCGGTCCATTCAGTTAATGCCATCCCCAAATTTCATACCTTGGCTCTGCCCTCTCCTGCGGCAACAAGCAGGGCAGAAAAACGGCAGCCTCGCTCCGCAGCTGTTTCCTTTGCAGTGAAGAAATGTCAAGAGAATTCGAAGCTCCTGACATTGCTTCAAGGCAAACACGGAAACAGTTGCCCCCAGAGTCTTGATCTTGCCCAGACGCGTCTGGACCAGATCTGGACAATAAATAGACTTAGTAAATCTTAATAGACTAGATTTCATGATAAAGCGCCTGCAAGCATTGGACTGGATGTGATTGACACAACTACACAACCATCCAAAGTTTATGTGTATAAACACACATATTTGTCAGACTTTCAAGTCGCGCTAATTGATTAATTACTTGCTTTGACATGCTCGGCTTCATTTTTTTTCGTTTCAGCCCACCTCTGTGTAGGCTCTTCTGCTAGTTGTCTGAGTGCTTCAGCTGCAGCTGCAAGCGCAGGGGCTTCCACACTTTCTTTCAGCAGCTGGACGAGAGCCGGACGTGCACCGTCAACCTGAGAGTCCGACAGAGTCCGACAGCTGAACGCTGAAAGCTGACAGAGCTGACAGCTGTGTCTGTGACAGCAGCAGTAACTCGGCTGACAAATCTGTTGAGGTCTGTCTGCAGTAATTCGGCTGGGCAGCAGCTTCTCGGCCTTTCTCTCCTGCGAAAGAAAGTCGAAGGCACATGGAGAACGATTTCATCATGGAGCACTTCAAACTCAAACGAATCATGTTGGAAATAGCTGAAATCTACTGTTTCCGAAATCCGACCTGAGCACTATCGCTTGACAGTGAATGTTTCTTGCCACTATCGTAGTCTTATGTAATGACACAGTTCTCGAGTTTGTACAGTTTCGTAAACCCAATGATGACAGGCCCCTTAGTACTCTAGGGTTGTTTGTGGGGATTGCTTTGTCAGCATGGGCAGTATTCCCATACTATGTTTTGAGATCACCAAAATGAGGTTGGTGCGAGTTCGACTAAGTCAAATAAAATAACTTGCTCCGATGTGTCACCGGTTTTTGTTCGGTTCACATGCTGTACGTACGTCTGTTGCAATCATGAAACGGATTGAGTGAGTCACGAGATGTGTTCATTTTTCCTCAAAGACTTGGAAAAGTGTCAAAAGGTGCAAGAATGACATCAAACCAAGTAAAGAATCAAACATACCAAATGTATAGGCACATGAAATGTATGTAATTACATCACAGCATCATGCGTGTTCTACTCAACTGTATATACTTGCTTTCATGAGCAGTGCACACTAACCATCATCCACTTTCTCTGTTTGGTATGTCTAACCGTCTAACCGTCTAACCGTCTAACCGTCTAACCGTCTAACCCTTCACCTGTGCATAGAAGCTGAACCTTACCATCTCGCCCGTCTCTCCGGTCTCTCCGGTCTCTCCGGTCTCTCCCGTCTCCTCGGGCCAGGTGGTAGAGTGCTAAAGCTGCCCAACGCTGCTCTGGCCCAGATAGGGCAGCAGCAAGGTCCGCCACAGCGCCAGAATCTGTGCAAATCTCAAAGTAACAACTGAAACCACTGAAACCAGAGAAGATTCATGAGATCGTCACAGAATATGAGATAAGTTTTGCCAAGGGCTCACAATAAGTGTGAACTGAGTCAGCCAAACTGAAACCTTGAACGAGTGCTCAACGATGCTGTTCATTTCCTTTGATTGCTCCAGTTCTCCATGTCGCCCAACATGCCCAGCGTACTCATTTTATCTCATTCTTACAATTTCCGCCACTTCCTCACCTGCTATGGCCGAAGCAAGATTCTGCACTGCTGCCAATGATGCTAACATCTTCACAGCCTTGGGAACAGGACATCGCAGGACACGCATCTCTGGACAACTCTTGTGACATGGTGACAACATGTGACATATATGATACGAGTTTGATATTAACTTGATGTCGGGGATGAATCATGGATGAACTTCTTCAGAAAGACCCTTTGCAGCCACGCAACATGCTCTTTGCCTCGAGGAAAATCGGGTGCCCTGTGGAGAACATGCTAGGGAGTTGATTCAAACCTCTTGAGGGAAACGCTGCCATCTCTCACATGATTCCACCAACACGATATGTTTGTTGGCCATAGTCCACGTGCATTGTCACCACATCTTTAAGATGCGTCACATTCAATGGATTTCAATGGTAACATGTTCTGGACGAAAGACAAAAAGAGCAAAACGCAAAGTCCAACATAGTCCAACTTTGTAGATCTACAAGGGCAACCTGCGGCAACCTGGTGATTGCTAAGCTGCCATGTGTGCTGTAAGAATTGTCTTTTTCTCTCAGTTGGACCATCACCGCGATCGCCTCATCATCGATATAACTGGATGTATCAGAAAAGCAGATGCTGCTGCTATGCGTGGCGAGCTAAGCAGCATCACCTTGGTTGACGGCAGCACCTTGACCGATTCTGTCACTTCAAAAAGAAGGAGTCGCTTTCTAAGCATAGTAAACCATTTCCAAAAATTAAAAACAAATCGAAAAGAAGAAAACAGCATTGTTCAAAAGGAGTCTGGGTCAAGGCAAAAGAGTGGGAAACAAAACACAAGTGCAAATCGCAAAATGAGCGAAATGAGATAGATCTTATGTGATGAACAGATGGGGCGGGTTGACCCGCAAAAACACAAGCCAGCAGCCTGCTGAATCTAATACTTTGGCTCTGGCATGGTCATTTTGCACCCTGCATTTGTCTTTTTTTTTGAAACGTGGTGAGACTTTGAGTTAAAATCCCGGTTGTCAACACTGCAATTCCGACCACACTGCATGAACCCCATTCCTGTGGATGTAGCATGGATGTTACGCCGTGTTACGCCTATAATTTAAAAAATATCAAAAATATTCAAAAAAACTTACATAATGACTGTGAAACAGTTTTGCACATGCAGGTCTCCTCTCTATCCTAACGGCCTAGCGGCCTAACGGCCTAGCGGCCTAGCGGCCTAGCGAAGCCAGTTGCAACATGGGCATGTCATGGCGGCATCTGCGCAAGCTGTCCGACATTACCGACATTCGTGTCGTCAGTGTGCTGCTCCCTTCTGGTGATCAACTGGCAGTATCGTTCTATGTTTGAACGGGTTGAACCCTCAAAGACATTCAGAAAGACTCAAAACACCTCAAGACCAGGTTATGTTGACCAAGTCTCCATATCTCTTGCTTTTCGTTTTTCGTTGCAAAAATCGAAATGCACTTTTGACGTAGCAAGACACTAGCAAAGCAGCAGCGCTGCATCGCCCAGGTTGCTCCACTTGAGCATCCCTCATGACCTGTCCCATGTCAAGATATGTCAAGCAGAACACAAGCACCTTGTTGATGGCTCAACATCCGCAAATGTTGGATGAAGAACGCCTGAACAACTTACTCCAACGCAATTGGTGGAAATCAAACAAGAACTGAATTGATTGTGGGAAAGGTCAAGAGTCATGTCAATCCAGCCAACTTCGCAAATCATTTCACAAAGGTTTTCGGATCGTTGGTAGATTTCCTTGTTTTCTCTGTGTCTACTGAGTCGACTGGACCTCTCTTGGTATATCCTCTGGTGATGTGTTCCCGATATTGAGCAACCCAATGGCCCAAACACCAAGTTGCTGCAATCAGGTGCTGCATCCTGGAATTTGGACATTCCCAAGGTTCAAAGGCCATAATTTTGATAAACCTACTGTATGCGATATTCAACACAAAACCGGTATATGTACCTCGGTATCTGTGTGATCTTCGTGTTTCAATCTATAAGATATCAAACGGCGGGAAAAAAAAAAGGAGTTGTCATGCACAAAATACATGGAGATTTGAAGTGGCTGGAATCCACTGTGGCACCTCCATCAACAGTTTGGTAATGCGAGGAAATTCAACACATTGTTGTCCTCGGGTTGGTTGTCCATACCACAAAAAACATCTTGCAACACCTGTCCCTATGTGATGTTTTTTGCACAATCTAAGGAAAACAAAACAACAAATCAGCATTCAAAATTTGTTGCTATCCAATATTGCGTTGATGGTATCACGGGATGATGGAGCGAGCACACATCATCAACTCGTTCAGTGAAATAGACAACCAAAGAAGAGAGGAGGCGGGAACAAAAAAACATAATGGATCAGCAAGTAGGTTAAGGCGCAAGAAACCGGTTTTGCTGTGAATGTTCGATTATTTTTTTTTAAGCCTCCACCAATGCTTCCGCGGAGCGAACATCTGGATACTTCATCAGAGCCTCCAGCAACTGTGCTGCGGCAGACGATGCCGCCTTTGCGGAACCCAACATTCGCAATGCAAGAATTGCTGCCTCGGCAACATGAAAGCAGTGGGTTGGATGCAAAACAAATCACAATTTGTCCAATTTTTTTGCCTGCACTTGTCTACTTGTCTCATTGTTGGGTTTGCATGTCTCACATGGCGCAATTGCACGAACAGACTTCATGAACAATTTTCCGGTCCAATTTGTTGCATTCATTCAAAGTTTAGGCAAAAGTCTCCAGCTTCCACAATAAACGGTTGTTGGTTCTCCAACGCTGCAATGCTGCAAAGTTTTCGACAGGCCGTTGTCCTGGAGATCAAAATTTACAAACGAAAACCATTTGCAGTTTTGATTGTACGATTCTTGCACCTCTCTAGTCTGTCTTTTTAACCAAGCCTGGAGGTTGTCACGGACATAGCCTCAAAAATCACAGGTTAAAAATCAAATAATTCACTTTGTTCAATACATGATCAATGTTTGTGGTTCCATTTTCAGCATGGTGAGCCTGTACAAATTTGCCGATGTCCGGGTGTTTCACAACTTCTGGGATCTTGTCCTGCCAGCTACCAGTGCATTCCATGTTTCAAAATGCAATTCAGTGTTCGCTGCACTTGTAATTCCTTCAAGGTTTCTCATGTCAATGTCGCATTTCCAATGTTTCATGCAAATCGACCTGCCATTCCACAAGTTTCTGGCGCTTCGCATCAGACGCTGAGGCACGGAAACACCCAACCATTGATGAATTCACTTTGGAACTATACCAATTGATTTTATTTGACGCTGAAAATGCAATGAATATGCCCGTGTTGAAAACATATACCGGCAAATCAAAATTGCGACCCGATCCATTTTCAGCTAGATTTTGTTTGTTGTTCTGTTTTCAGGTTTCAACCAAGCAAAGAACATGCAATAAATGGCATTTTCTATTGTGCCAATGGCAATGCAAAAAATTTTTTGGTGCCGTGACAGGTGTGCACCACAAATAATCACTTGGTCACCTGGCAGGTGCACCAAGGTGGGAAACATGGATGTGCGAAACCAATCGGGGGATGATTTCATCCCACCAGTTTTGCTGCAAGCCGATGCGTTTGTTCATGATTTTTCTTAAGCACGAGCAAAAACGATACCACGGGGCTGGCATCAAGACAGCGGATGCTGGTGGCAATGTAATTGTCCAAAGACAATGACCGTGAAACATGGTAGGCTAGATTGCGCCTGGGAACACGACACAACAACATTTTTTACATGTCATTGCATACCTCGTCCTTCAATGGCATGGTATCCTTTCAAAACATAGTAATGCCTCCCCCCCTTCCCACAATACGCACCATGTTTTTAAACATACGACATCCTGCTCAAAAAATGGAATGTAAAGGCAATGATGAAATATGTTCCTTTTCTGGACTCAAAATTGTAGGGTTCGTGCACGAAAATACCGCGTTGTCTTCAAAAAAAACAGCACATTTGCAAGTCATGGAACACACCTGTTCAACCATCTTGGCTGTGGGAACGGCATGTACACAACGAGCTTGGTCACAAAGAATTATGCAAGCATAAACTGACCGGTGGGGTAAGGGGACGGTGGCGGGTGCTTCCGATCCATAAAAAGCGTGGGCCCACCGCCCTCCTTTAAACCACAATGAAAGGGCATTCACTTGAACTGACCCATCTATTACCATTTTATAAGCAGTTGTCATACACGCCAGCTAGTTGTTTCCAATCGCCGTTCATGCTGCAACGACACATCTGTTTTTCACCGACTGGGTTTTGGTTTTGATTGTTCAGCCATCTTCCCCAATTTCTTCTCCACTGACAAGCTGAGTGAACACAAGCACTGCAAGGCAGTCCCAAAAACATCTGCAAATCTGTTAAGCAGGCGGCGTGCACAAGCAAGTCCTTTTACATCGTGGGTTGAGCCACCGTCGAAATGTCACAGACAAATGGATGTCTGAGTGCAAATGGATACATGGATGACATGAAACTGCCAAAAGAATGTAACACACCACCTCAAAATCGGGGTGAGCCAGCAACGATTTTGTGCTGACTGTTGAAATCATTTCATGTCCACTGCCAAAGAAGGTTAACCAAAAGGAATAGGGAATCCATGATCCCGATGAATAAACCATTGTTCACAAAAGCTTCCAAAACAGTCCAAATACTTACCTTCAATGACAATGCTCTGAAAAACACGATATTCATGTTGCTGCCTACGGTCCCACCATAGTGGGTGATCCCAGGACATATCCGGTTGATTTGGATACAGGACCATCAGGTGACACAGGTAAAATTCTCTCAGATTTTGTTCTGATAACAAAGCCACCTCACGCACGCGTTGAGTTCGTTCACGTTGTTGGCGTGGGAAGTACTCCTCGGCCACATCCAAATTTTGCCAATCCAAACCAACTCGAGGTAGATCTGGAAGATCATCAGGTGTCCCAGGAGGGGATCCAGGCAGCTCCACGGTCTCGTGCGGAACATGTGGTTCAGGGCCTCGATGTTCAACCATCGGTGAGAAGTCAGTTTGAACCTGAGCATCCACTGGTTCATCCTCTGTCTTGTTTTCTTCCTCCGCATTCTCATCCGCATACTCTGGGTAAAGCTGAGGGTCTACAAGCATGCTTGCTTCCAGCGGATCTAACTCTTCCACCTTCAGGCGTCTCCTTGCTTCAAAGCGCGGTCGCACATACTTTGCCAAACCTGTCTCTGTTTCACGGAAGAATTCTTCTCCAGAATCGGCATCTCGTGCATCGGCCAAAACACGCAATTGTTTCAGCTCGTGGTTCATTGGGTCCCAATCATCCACCAACGCAAGTTCGCGTCGTCGATGTAGACGTCGCAACATCCGCATGGACCATTGTGTCATGTAGACCACCTTCTCAATGTAGACCACCTTGTGGATGAAGTACCCAATGCAAACCCCAATAAAGACAAAGACCAGGGTGTAGAAGACCACAAAGACCTTGTTGTCCATGAAGAAGTCGAGGTACACATACTTCACCTCCAGCACCTTGAGCTCGACCATCTCCGCGTTGAAGCCATCCACCATAGGCTGCATAGCCAGCAAAGTCATCAACTTAACCATCGGCTTTGAAACCTGTGCTTGAAGACCTTCAGCACCATCGCTCAGCGTGTTGAGCATCACCTGGCGAACAACCTTCATGTTCTTGCTGAGGGCTTTCTTCCGCATCTCTTCGTTGAACCCCGCTTCGCCGACTGGCACATAGGATTTGGTCGCTTCGTCATAGACCACCATGCCCATGAGGAACATCAGAAAGGATCTGCGAAGTTTCGAAAGCTTCTTTGTACCGATATCAGCCACATTCAGAAGCGTCGCCACGCCAGTCATAGTGAGCATGCCCAATTTGACACATTGCTGTAGCCATAGATACTTCGTCTCGATATGCTTGAGACGTCCAACTCCTTGGCGTTGGGCAAATGCTCTGCAGCTACTGGAATCGGTCACCACATCCACTTCAGTCTCTTTTCTCACAAGGAATGTCCACAACCTTCCAATGTGAATGCCTTCTGCTCCTCCACCAACTGCCGCAAGATATTCGCTTTCACAGGAACTCAAAGCAATGCTCTTCTGGGAGCGGGACCGGCTTGTCACAGCGCGTCCATTCAGAAAAATCATCGCAGATGAAACTGAATGCCTCCTTCGGGATGAGCAATTAGATTGGTCACCTGCCCAATCCGAATCCGTGAACACTTCCACGAGTTCAGAGGTCGTGTGGTTTGCGGCACAGCAGAATGCTGAATTGTGCGAGGATGGGTATGGTCCCCATACTGTATCCATCTTTCGGTATACCAAGCCTGCCGAATATTTATTCCAATAAGTTTCAAAGGGAAACCTGGAAACCACCGCGGCTACGCATTACTGCAACACAACCAAATTAAAAAGTCAAAAGAACCGCACAGAAAAGTGTACATATGATATTCCGTACTTATATATTAAGTACAACATACGTACACGCGCAAAACATGGAAAACAAAATGAGTGCCGACGAACGAGGGAATCAAACGCAACTCCTTTTTTCATCTGTGGGGAACGCTGCTTCGAGATCCGTTGTAATAACGGTAGGGTTAGGCATCCCTTTCCCCGGGTTGGGAAAAAAAACGTGGAGATGACCACAGTTTTAGGGTGGGTGAACAAAATTTCGTGGGGGATGCCACTTGAGACCAAAATGCCCACATGTAAGATAGATGTCACATTGATAAGAACAGATCCCTGCCAAGAACAGCACGTCACCTTGAAACATCAAAAGTTTCACACTGATAAGAACAGAAGACCGCTAAGTCCCAGAATGCACAGGTTCTGTACATGACATCATATTACTGGACATTTGGTTCTAAATAAGAAAAAGGGTTTGTTGCAGTAACCGTCGCGTACCCTCCTACGCTACGCGTATCGCACGGAAGTTTAGAGGTTGATATTTCCAGGTTACCCAAAAAGTCTTTGAACACCAGGTGTTCAAAGACAGAGAAACTTAAAGGAATAAAGGGTTCATCCTTACTTCGTTCCTCAGACGGAGGGGACCCTTATTCCAATAAGTTTCAAAGGGAAACCTGGAAACCACCGCGGCTACGCATTACTGCAACACAACCAAATTAAAAAGTCAAAAGAACCGCACAGAAAAGTGTACATATGATAATCCGTACTTATATATTAAGTACAACATACGTACACGCGCAAAACATGGAAAACAAAATGAGTGCCGACGAACGAGGGAATCAAACGCAACTCCTTTTTTCATCTGTGGGGAACGCTGCTTGGAGATCCGTTGTAATCCCCACTATGGACCACAGCTCGCAAGCACGTCCAACCAGTCCACGGAGAAAAAGGTGCTCCCAAGTTTCGTCAAGGTATCAAAGTTTCCACGGCTAGGGTCGTCAGCCAAGTTGCTAACGCTCGGTACCCTTGCATACCAGGATTTCGTTCCCAAGTGGTACTCCGAATCCATTATCCTGGCAGCCACATGCTTTGCAACAGCGGTTTCACCGCTCCCTCTCAAGAGCGCTAACCTGACCGATTCATTATCTATGTAATGAACGACTTGGCATCCTCGAATGAGGTGTCCCCAAAGTCTAAAAGAGACTAGTACGGGAATCATCTCCAACTCATGTATCGGATGCTTTGAGGCACGCAAAAGGTGGCGCATCACCTCTGGGGTTGCGTCGCAACCAAAATGATGAACCACTCGGTGATTGGGTGCGACTAGAACACCGCCAATGCTCCCGGTGGTGGATCCATCTTCACAGGCCCCATCAGTGAAGATTATCCAGGTTGAAAGGTTGTTGATTCCGAGAGGTACGGGCTTTGCGGACTCCAACCGGACAAGCAACTTCTGAACGACCAAAATTTCACATTCATCCAAAACGCACGACGTCCTTCCAAGACGACAAAGGTTTCCAAACTCCTTCAAATCAAGGTTTGCAATTCTTCCAAAGACATAGCATTCAAAGAAAAGCATCCTTCCCCTCACTCTCTCAGCTTCTTTGGTGGACAACTGTCCATTACTGACGATGTCTCTCAAACATTGTTTTAGTTCTGTGATCCTCTCATCAGTGTGACCCACCGAGAAGCGCAGTGAGGGTGCCTCGACCATGTTGACGATCAGACCCAACATCCTGAAAACGTCACTGAAAGGTGGTGCCTTGGACCCGTCCTTGGCGTATTGTAAACCAATCAACTCAAAAAGTGAGGAGATAGCCCAGTGGGTGTTGGAAGCAAGTTCAGGCCTTGTAAGGGAGGAATAATCAAAATAAGCACTCCATGCAACGCCCATTCCAAAAACTCCGATCCACCAAATTGCAAAGGAGACACGCAAGAAACCAGCTACCGATCCAATTGCCCCGAAGGGCAAGGCATTTAGCCCCAGCAGTATCGGGTCTTTGGACCCGGGTTTGTTCACTGCGATGCTCACAAAATCTCTGTCATGGGAACACAATCCAAACTGCTTGTAGGCCGATTTCAAGTCGTATGTCCTCACAAGTACTTTGCAGTGTTGCCCTTTCGAGCACTTGAAGCTATGGTCCAGCATTCCACATAGTTGATCAATTGTAAGGCAAACTTCTCTTTTGTACCCACCGTCAAGTTCAAGCCACAAACCGTACAGTCATCTATGACTCTGGTTTTTCCTCCCTGTCGTATCCCAAATCTCCGCGCAACCGACTTCCCAGTCCAGTCGGAGGTGGTGTCCTCCCAAATCCAATCCTGCTCTATCTCATGCTCAGTCTCACCCCAGGTGTCCTGTTCGAGCACGCCCTCCTGTCGGATGCTCATTTGTTGCATGACTTTCTCATTGAAGGAGTTCGAGGATTGCTTCAACGCATCAACAGTCAGTGTAGGGTTTCTCACCTTGCGCGGGAAAAGATTGGAGTCAGGCATCCATCCACTGAGCTTGAACCCATTGCAGAGGCCATGTAAAAGATCTTTATCTGGAAAACCCAAGTCAGCCAGCATAACACCCAGTAAATGAAGCCTCTTCCCTTTCATCAACTTCCGGATGTGCGGCGGCATCTTGAGTCTCAGTTTAAGCTCTTCTGCTTTGGATGTCGTGGCGAGTTGAGTGTACTTCTTGATGAAGTCAATGCGCCTACCTGCCAACAAGTGTGGTGGTCTGTGGAAATTATCCATGAGCACTTCATGCATTGTGGGGTCAACATGCCTTTCCAGATCTTTGGGGTGTCCTGCATCAATTGCCTTCTCCAAAAAGGCCATAGGGTCGTGTGGGACCCCCACATGGTGACATTCCACTGTCTGATCTTTTGAGATGTCGACCTCCGAGATTTCCAGAAAAACGCATTCACCACGGAATTGTTCCGCCCGAAAAGTTCCCCAGGTCCAGAGTCTGCGGGACAATATTTTTGCTCCTTTAGGAAAAAGTGTGAGCACTTGAGCGCAAAGATCCACATGTTGTGCAGGGGTGACAACATATGTGTAGTGGGAAAATTCAGGTACCAGTGGGCGTAACTTCGTGGATCTGGGCAGCGCTTCAAAAATATATCTATTCATTAAGGAAAAATCCTTGTCAGACATTTGCTCTTCCAAAGTGGCATGCATGACGGCTCCAAAACGTTGAGCCATGTCCAAGACCAAGTTAATGATTCTAGCACAAAGAAGCCAGGGATATGCTGCCTCTTCGGCTGTGGGGAAAACCAAGCGTCCATCTCGAATCTTTGGTCTCCAGCTTTGGTGCTGATGCTGGCCATCACAAAACATTTGAAGTGGTTGCATCCAATCCTTGTTGCTCCAAAAGGAAGTAAGCTTGTCTCGGGAGCCACCGTGGCAACAGTTATGGAAGTCCGTCATGTAACCACCTAAAATTGTGAGGAATTTCTGCGCAAATGAAGTCTTCCAGTAAAGACTGTTAGTAGGATTCTCCACAACAACGCAAATGTCCAATCCTGCTGCAAAAAGAATCAGTTTCGTAATTCCTTCATATAATTGGTTTGCCAATTCGGTCTTGAGCTTGTCGAGACCTTCGAGGTTGTCCAATCCGTCTGGTTGCAAATCACTACGAAGTGGGGCTGGTGCTTTGCGCCCTCTGAGCAAAGAGCTTTTGATTGGCCTTCCCCTGGCTCTGCTTGCCGTCCCGCAAGGAGGTGCAATAAAAATCATCAAAATTCTGTTTTTCTCTGCCTCAACAATATCAAGGAGCAACTGGAGCTGTGATGCTATAGCTCCTGCCAGTCCCTCCCTGCAATGATCCCGTAGATCCCTCAGCGGCACAAATTGCGGCGTACGCAACCGTGCCATTTGCAGCTGCTGGCCGCTTCAAGCCCTTCTTTGACGCAGGACGTTTCAAAGCTGCTTCCTCCAACAAACGAGCGTTGCCTTGTAATGCTTCCAACTGCTGTTCCACTGACATCTCCGGATCCTTCTGCTCGTCTTGCACAGATTTTTTTGGAAGACACCCCGTAGGTGTCTTCTCTTCCACAAGACCATCTTCAATCGCCAACAGCTCCTTTTGCGCAGGCACCGGACATGTTACCGGACTCGACAGCGATAATACTTGCTGTGTCCCAGCATTCTGCATTCCCCGCGAACATGCTTCTACGACCTTGCAGATCGCATCCACACTTAAGCCAGACGATGCAGACCCTGAGGACACAGAACCTGCAGCGATGTCCGCTTCCCCCTGCAGAAGTTTATGATCCTTTCGCAAAGGCATATTGCGCACGAATTGCATGACATCAGCAGCAAACTCCTTCCGCTCCATCGGTTTCCCCGTAGGAAACACAGACTGTGCAACTTCACTGGGCAAATCTTTCCATGACACAGGCAACTCCAAAATGGTCGTGGACGATGGAGGCACAGACAAGTACTTTGTCACAACGGGCTTCTTCTGCAGGTACAAGTTGTATTTTTCCTTCGCAGTCATTCCTTGGCATAACTGTGTCCAGTAGGCCAACGCGATAATCGTTGCTTTGCTACCTTCCGTTGCAACCCGCAACGTCAGCTTCGCCGCGTGGGCGCACACGTCAAAAAGCAACTGATCTCTGTCAGTACCCTCACCTAAAATTTTCTGACATAATTCTTCCGTCAAAAAAAAAGGCAAAGTGGCAAAATCTTGCTGCGTCGTACGCACATTATCTGCAACCACAGCTTTCGTCTTGCTCGCCAAAAGCAAC